AAGGAATCTTGGAAAGATGACTCAATTGGCCATTGAACCACCCAGCGGCCGACACCCCCTGAAATCCCCAAACTAGGGTGGACTTGAAATGATCCCACTTATGGGCTCACCACACCTCAGTAAGTGGGTGAGGACAACTTCGGGTGCAGAAAAAGGATTGACGGCATCAGGGTATCCGTCCCGGGATCCAACTGCAGGTACCCCTGCCCCCAGTGAAGGTAACACCTGGTACTAGTGTGGGTGGCTAAATCAGAGCTAAATCTACACACACACACACACCTTGACCTTTGACGCCCATCGCCGGAGGCGATGATAGCAATGCTACGGCAGAAGCCATAGCAACTTGTGCTGGGATTACACCATTCAACAGCTTGCAAGGCTGAAGAATTGACCGTCACTAGTCAGCCTGGTCTACACCATACAGCTATTTGGAGTGACATTTTCTGGCCAGTGAATCCCTATTTTTGGTCTTTTCAATTTTTTTTCCCCGCACACACATCACACCACATACTCCGGCATGCACTGGCTACACACACACACACACACACACACACACACACACACACACACACACACACACACACACACACACACACACACACACACACACACAAGATGAGTGTGAAGTGAGGATGTCTGGAGAAAAAGTGCAGAAATGATCAACCTGGAGAAGAACACCAAGTTACAGATGATGCAATTTTCCGCCAGTGTTGAAGAAGCAAAGTACAAAGTGCACTTGATGGCTAACCGCAGAAATCCTCTCGTCTCCAATCCAGTGTAGCAGCGGCCGCGGCACTGACAAGCTTGCACTGTCTTGCATACTCCTCTACTGTATAGCACAGTGAGGAACTGACATCAGCGCCATCTAGGATACCAGCACACATGTCTCTCTCGCAGGCCTCCAAGAACAAGTTCAATGATAGGACAGCCTGGTCTTGGGAATGACAGGCAGCGAATGCTGTGCCATTAATGTCAGAGCACTTTGTCTTGGCTACCAAGCGCTGCTGGTCGGTTAGATGAGGATCTTGACATGGATCACTACCCTGCAATGACAGTATGAACATAAACAGACCGACCCAGTCAGTTATACTGCACGGCGACCGGTCCTTGGAAGTACAGCACATGCCACTCCGGGCCCCATAATCTAAGCACGCAACTACACACAGCTTTCACCTAGTGTGCAGGTCCAGGGCTCTGTTTTGAACATGGCATGCCAGACAAACTTAGTGAGTTATGCCATGATACAGATGAAGGCACTTCTAGTTTCATTGAATAGGAAAGTGTTTGAGCTGAAAAGCTCTTTCCCGGGCACACTGAAAACAATGAAGACAGGTCACACGTCGATTTGAACAGCGTTTTGGCAATCGGTTTCCATCATCAGGTCACACTGATCAGGTGTGCAGGCTAAGCAAATGAACAGCTACTAAGTACTTAAGTAACAAATATCATCCAGTGAGAAGATGATGTCACTACCTTGAAGTGGATGTACTCCGGACGAGTGCAGAATAGCGATGCGTCTGCTGAGGAACGAGTCCATGGTGCTGCATACTCGCCAATCTGATCGTCAGCAATATGTCCGGGCAAGCTTGCCATGTCGCCACACAGTCCATCCACGCTCTCTTTGGCAAAGAGGAGCTGGATTGAGCCACTTTTGTAATTAAACAGGATCTGAAATGGAGAGGAATGATGGGAAGTACAATGCCAACAAGACTGATTATGTTGCTTTTAATACCAAGGGTCAGCATCATGCACCTCGAATCAATCTCGAGGGGACCTTCACCTAACTTATAATACTGACAAAGTTACACTGTGATGTGCAAGTGGACTAGATTGACAAAGAGCACACATTGTGGAGTGGTTTTGTGACTACTGTAGTACATGGCATCGTCGACTGTGAAAATATCAATGGCCCAAACCTCTGCCTGCCACCGTTCACTATACAAAACAATTTCAACATCTGGGGAAATGGTATTCCAATTTGTGGCAAAGAAGAATTTTACGGGCCACACAATGCGGAATGCACAACTGTTTCCGTGGTATCGACCACTACCTGTTCGAGACACCAAGAAGTTACGGGGTGCCGAGGCGCGTAGCCCGCATGGGGTACGGGGGGGGGGGGGGGGGGGGGGCATGTGCACCCATAACATTTTTGACCTAACTTAGGTTCAGCATGCACATACATATTTATCTTGAATAAAATCCACCAGCCATCCTACACAATGTCATGTACATATGCGGCCGTGCACCCCCTAAAAGGGGGACCAGCTACGCCCCTGGTGCCAGTTTAAGGGTAAAGTAACTGGCTGCTGCTGATCTTACCTTCCACGTGTTAGAGAAAATGATGACGTAATCACCAACATGCTCAAAGAAGGAGTGGGACACCTTGGCTGGCAAGGGTAGATTACGACCACCTGTCTGTGCAATTGGGATTGGGTTGTGCTTTGCTTTGAACACAACAACTTCCACCGTCGTATCACCACGCTGCTTCAGGCGGAAGAACAGCTTTCGCTGACAACCATAGCTAGTCCTCTGCTTGAGACAGCTGTCTTCATTTTCAAACGCAATATCGACAGTGTCATGTTTTACTAGGGTGTATTCACAACCACCTGGCACAGAAACGGATAGAAACCGAGGCTGAGGTCAGTAGATGTAGACAGGTAGATCAGTTACTTCAGTAGTTAGTCAAAGAACTTTATTGAAAATCCATGATAATGTGATCGGAAAGATGATTGAAGAAAAATCCAAAGTCAAACCCAGGCAATTATTAGCAGTCACTACTATCAAAGCAGATCATTATTTGCAATAGCGTAATTGAGATGTTCAATGTGTGTGACTTCAGTAGGTTCCTACTGTCCTCAGGACTATGCTGTTAAATCGGCTTCAACTACTAGATTCAAGTTAATGAAGTATCAGTCACTGAATAACACTTGCTTGCTTGCTCACTCACTGGCTCATGCAACCATTCATGCGGGGCACAGTACAACATGTTAAATCTACTTTGTGTTGACTGACCTGTGAAGTTCACCCATCTTCCGTTGAATGCACGCAGATGGTCAAATCCCCACATGGAACAAAGTGAATGGTAAGATGATCTCTCAAGTTGTGACAAGTATTGGTACTCAGTTGTTGGTGCTGCATCGAACACAGAGATAAAAATGCAATCAGAAGCAACATGAAAGTTGTCGTCTGGCAAAAAAACATAAACCGTTTACGGTAAGGAAACAACTCCTCCACTCAGTCATTCCTGTGATAAAATGTTCAGTATAGATCAAGTGAACACGAGTTGCCATGGACACAGGAACCACGACGATGAAGAGTTCCTTTGTCCATGTGCTTGAGCAAGAGGAGCATACACGAACATCTGTGCCTAGTGTCATAACATTTCGAAAAAACAGATAGTGCAGGTATAAGTACCTTTTTTGTTTTTCAAGCATCTCCACTGCTATTCAAAATGCAGTGCTGTGTACATGCACATACACATGGTGCAATGCTTGCACTTGACTTAAAAGTGCTTGTTCTCAGCAGTTCCTTTCACCTAAACATGTGTGACAAACGCAAGGTTTGGCGGCGTAACCGGACGAGATCAGCGTTACCACAGTACTCTTTACTTACGGAGTGACTGAGTGACCTGCGGCATGGTTGTGGGTACCAGTGTTGTCGAGACTGACAATGAGTCAGCTTGACGAGCCACTGAACACACGCAGTAGAAATCAAACCAAACACAACTAGTTGTGAACATCATGGCAACTTAATGCAGCCTTAATAATTCCATGCCACTGATCTTATCAAATGCAAAGACTTGTGCTTGGTGACTATGAGAGAAAGTAGAACTTGTTGAAAGACATCATTTGCAGTCCCATGACATCATCTTCAGTCCCATGACATCATCTGCAATTCCATGTCATCATCTGCAGTCCTACGACATCATCTGCAGTCACATAACATCATCTGCAACCATATGCACACCTTTTGGAATTGACCCGGGAAACTGAAGACTATTATTGAAATAGGGCTTACCATAATGATTGCTGTTGAACTCAGCTTGATTGTCATCAATGCTGGCCTGACTCTGCTGCTGCTGCTGCTGCTGCTGTTGTTGTTCAGGTGACCTCCGTACGTGGTCATCATTGTCCTCAATAGAAACTACTACATCATATAATCACCATAGTAACATACAGCAGCCATGTATGTGTGCATGTACATGTACATATTATACATGCACGTGTGCACACAAACGAAGAGAAGAGGTCCAGCCAGATTGTGTTGTAACTTTGAAGCTTCATGCCCAAGCAACCATCCGACAACTGTCAATGAAACCTGAGGACTGCTCACTATAATACTAACTGTGCGTGAGGCACGGCGCTATGTTACACTGAGTGTAGTTGATGAAGATTACAGAGCGGATATCACTCCACTTGCAAAACACTGAGCCATGGACCCCATAGTCCTCACATGTGTGCGACAGCTATCATCAATGCCTGAAATGTACTCCTATACACGGTCATGTACAGCCTGCTTTAAGTTCAGCAACATTACGCCTGTTCAGCCAATCCAGCAGTATGACGGACTGAAATTTCAATTTTCCGCAATTCCTTTGATTATAAGGCTCACCTCTTCACAATAAACTTGAAAGCCAAAAGAAGGAGGTGCGACTTTCAAACAAGTTTGACTCACTACTCCCGCGAACAAGGCACTAAAACTAGACAACAGAGACGTGAACATGGGGTGAGACTGAAAGCCCCAAGTATGGTAGTAGTTAGTGTTATGACTTGGGGCTCCCCGCGTGCTAGAGTGTACGTGAAGTGTGTGGGTACAGTGAGGGCTGCGTCCCACCCGCCTGTGTGGATTCACAGGAAGTGTGAGCTACGAAGTCTGAAGAAAATGTTGAACAGTCTCTGCTGGGATGACGACTACACCATAGCTCAGTGGTTAGAGCATCGCTAGCTACAAGCGAGGGTCCCTGGTTCGAGTCCTGGTGGTGACAGTCAATTTTTTCTTCAGACTTTTCCCGCTTGTCTCTTTCCCTCAAACTAGTGAAGATTTTATGACTTGGGGCTCCCCGCGTGCTAGAGTGTACGTGAAGTGTGTGGGTACAGTGAGGGCTGCGTCCCACCCGCCTGTGTGGATTCACAGGAAGTGTGAGCTACGAAGTCTGAAGAAAATGTTGAACAGTCTCTGCTGGGATGACGACTACGCCATAGCTCAGTGGTTAGAGCATCGCTAGCTACAAGCGAGGGTCCCTGGTTCGAGTCCTGGTGGTGACAGTCAATTTTTTCTTCAGACTTTTCCCGTTTGTCTCTTTCCCTCAAACTAGTGAAGATGTTATAATTATCATGCAAGAATGCAAAATGCTGATGAAGTGTTGGATGTCCTTGACAGCATGTTGCTATCTACTGACTCACTGACTGTATACAGTTATTAGAAACATAGCTCACTATAGAGGTTGTGCAATTACATCATCAATTGAGATGTTTTTTTTTTTCCCGCAAAAGTCACGATGGCACAGCGTGATGCACTCGCTCAAACAAACCCATGGAAACCACCGACTCACACTCTGTGCATAGCACCCACAAGTAATTCCACTGATTCACCACCATGACACCATTCGCATAACCTTTGTAAGGACTGATTGGTGCCGGGGGGGGGGGGATTTTGATTCTTACCCTGGTCACACGTCTCGCCAAAGTATCCTTTACAACACACATTCTGCTCTTCCAAGACAGGTATGCGGACAGTCTTCTGAATTGTGCGCGGTGAAAGTCTGCAATGCAGAGAGACAAGTATCTGATTACTATTCGGTGTTACAGGCTGTCAAGTGGGTAGGACTGAGTTCATAGAGAGGCCAACAGTGAGCAGTATCTGGAGTTCAATGGAAGAACATGTGCAGGTTATGATCCACCATTGAACTCCAGATACTGCTACTGAACTGAGTACAGGTCGTCCCCCGTTAATACGAGTCCGGTTAGTACATAAGAAATCTCAAGTCCCGGACGAAACGTGGTCACTTCCATACAAATTTTGTCGGTTAGTACATAATCCGTTAGTACATAAACCCCGTTAGTACATAACATTTCTCCGTACCCGCATGCCACCTACCTCAATAGTACATAATTTGTTGGTCTTTTGGCCTTCGAGTGGAGGCACATCGTGTTCTAGTTTCTACTTGTGGACGCAAGTAGCTCAGAAATCAGAGCGCAAATCACAAACCGACAAGGCTCTGTGTTTTCCGAGTGACTGTACAGGCGCGGCTGGATATGTATCACGTACAACTGTAGAATCTTCGCTGACTGTGACCGTTATAACATAATTTTTATGTTATAGCGAGGGAATCAAGAATATCTCGCTCCCTTGTCATGGTAGCAAGAAACACTCAGAACAGTTGAAAAAAGTGAAAAATTCTGGTACATAAGCAAGTTATGTACACTTTCGTTTAGTACATAAACCCCGTTAATACATAACATTTCTCAAGTCCCAGAGATTATGTATTAACGAGGGACGACCTGTAGTTTGTTTTCTCAATTGATTTCCTACCCGCTTGACAACCTGTTACAAGAGTAACAAAGGTGCAATCCATTGTGACACTATCACCTGGTCATCAGTAGCAAAGCCATGACACTATCACCTGGTCATCAGGGCATGGCGCAAGATTGACATACCGTACTCAAGTAGTTACATTCCCAATGATACAACTGAACGCAAGATCATCGTAGAATGTAGTGGCGAAACAATGGGACTACCTGTTACCAGCACGGCTCTGAGGCTCTACTGCATGTGACAAGTGCTCATACTCCTCATCTAGCCTACTAGGTCAATGAACTGTTGCATGCCACGGCACTGGTATTGTTAGCATGCTAGTAATCCTTTCCTTCAGTTCCTTGCTGCTTGTTCAGTGGCACAATCACATTTGCACTGCACAGCTCAGCATACTAACTAGTATTGCACTACAATATGCAGCTGTTCCGGCAGAGCCTTACCTCCACTGTACACATGCATACAGTTCTGAGCTGGAATGGTCTCTGCACAGTCCTTTGTACGTCTGGCGTGTCATACGCTTTCTTGTCACCACATGGCTTGCATCTCTCACCTAATCAATTATGTCAGAGAAATCATCACAGGGAGTCAAACACAGCTCTAACTCTCTATTAAACAGTAGCAACACTAATGTCCCCAAACAACACGGTGAGAATACATTCCCCACCACCAGACTAAGCACTAAACTAATGTGAAGTGAAGAATTACAATCATGTACTTAGCCCCCACCGTTAGGCGCTGCATCTGCCACTGGGTTTACCGTGTGTTAGCGGCTGTTGTGAGTTACCTTGGGGAACGGACACGATAATAGACTTTTTATTTATTCAGAAACTGTTGTTTATCCATGCCCCATCTCTCCCCCCCCCCTGCACGTGGTGGTGGCTTGAGCATTTGTATAGTTGAGATTATTAATTTTTTTGCTAGAATAAGAAGACACGTGATAAAATCTGTTGAGCCATCAAATGACTATGTGATGCGATGGCAAGTAACTACTTAAAAATATTATTATTAGTTGTCACCACTCGTCACCACTCGCTGCTGCTGCATGCTTCTCGAAGAACATTGTGTAGTGCCACGGTACATGTACATGATTGTATAATTATCATTCTTCGCCTCTCCTAGTCCTAGTCACAGCCGGAGCCTTCCCAGCCGATAGCTAACAAGCAACAGCACGCTGAAGTAACACACGTTAGTTCATCGTGATACTAAATTAACTTGTACACCGTCCTTGCCTTCACGGAGCGTTTACCGCAGATGTTGATGTTGTTTACTTGTAGTGTGCGAGCCGTGAGCACAGCAGATTTGACAGCATCGGGATGGCCATCTGAATCACCTACAGACCTGGGAAGAGTGTCACTATTGGCTACATCAAATACTTCCGCGTTCAAATCACGCAGTATCGCCTCCTCGCTCGTCCTGAACAATTCACATGCACGCACGAACGCATCACACGACAGCAAATCGAAGGACAAAAATAATATTGAATTTTACCATCAAGACAAGAGTACATAAGTTCATAACCCCTTGCCCCTGGCCCTTGCCTTGGCATCGCGGTGCATCCCGCTCTGAAGCTGAAATCATGATCTACACATATTGTATCACTGTCTCTGATCTAAGAGTCCTTTATCCCCCGGGGGATTATGGATTCTTGGTGTAACTGTGAGTGCGGCGGGTAGGATTCAAGAATCAAGGGTAGATCTACGGACTATGGCCCATGGGACTCTTGCCTTGGCCTTGGTGGTACTTAGGTCAAGGATAGCCAGAGGCAGAGGTTAGGCCCAGGTACAGGGTTCAAATAGCGTCTTCACGGCCTCGGACTGGACCGTTCTGCGCTCGTATTTCTCGCAGAGGACTAACTCTAAGGTATAGCACGTTTTGTGTACAGTTGAGTTGTATTGGCTTCGGCCTGCAGTGTGGAGTGCAGAGGGTTCTTCGGCTCGACGCTTCTTCTACCCAGCAAAAGCTATGGACATTCTGTCACAGTTTGACGATCGCCAAGTGCAGGTGAACGTTGAAGTAACGTTAGTTCCATCACGAACAGCTTCTCGTCTTTGTGCAATGCCCTAACATGTGTAGCATCATATGCCCTGGTGTGCTTACTAGTAGTAATACTTGTCCATAGGGTCCACAACTCGTAGGTATTTGCAACATGGCTCATGCAACTAGGCCATGTCTTTCATAGTCTACAACAACGAGTTAGTTGACGTGGTCTTTCTATAACTCCCCGTGCTAACGTAGATCTACACACGGATTGGAAACCTGCACACCACGTCCATGACCAGCTAGCGCCGCCTTTCCAGACAGTGTTACCAGTAGCCCAGTACATTGTAATAATTATAATTATTCAACAGAGGGTAGATCTTCAAGTCCTGCTTGGAAGCGGAAGGATTTTTTCCAGCCGTGCTGCGACCCACAGTTGGGAACTCGTGCCCTGGCATGAGGCATTGAGGGAAACAATTACATGGATGCAGTGAATGGGATTTCGGTCTTTGACCACTTTCAAGTTTGTGGTTCCAATATTCATAAGGTTGTAGTCCTCTCCGGTATGATTCGTGGGGGCTTGCGGCAGGCATGGAGAATGCAGAACATGCAGATCTCCGGGATCGAGCAACCCTTTGTGCAGCATCCGCCAACTACTACAGACTACACTGTGTAGACTACAGTACTGTACTATAGTATGTAGTAGGGTCATTACTAGAGAAGTAGTATCCGGGTTGTAAGAACATGTCACGTGACCTGACACAAGCCTGAAGACCTGGCACAAGAAGAGTGGAACTCATTTCCCTGCTGGGGTTCTTGGAAACTTCTGTGGGACGGAGCTAGCTCCTCGAAATTAATGATGTATGGTTAACTAGTACAACAGCCGATGTCTGTCTCTCTCATTATCTCCAGTTTCTGTAACAACCTGGGGTAGGTAATTAATTAGCGGGAAATTCAGCTCTTCAATCTTATCAATAATTAAAAACAACAACAGCGTGTTGTTCAACTCGGTTTGACCTTTGCCAACGAGAACTTACGTGTTTGCCATGAGCTACCAGTAACACGTGGTAAAACACGTGAAGGGCCAATGCTCATTGAATACAAGCGGACGCGAGTGTGATAGCTCTATGAAGTATATGATTGCAGGTCTGCAAGAACGCACGTCGCGCTGGGCAAGGCATGTCTATTGTAGGGCGGTCCGGAAGGAGCGACTTGGAAATGAGCTGCCTCTCTTAGTCCTCCATCTCCCAAAGTAAAGCCATTCCGCATCCAAGCAGTCCTTGGCCATAAACCTTGCGATATACTGTAGCTAAACGAACATTTGCCCCTTGATTTGGTTTTTGGGTTTGATTTGAAATAGAAGTCGACGAACAAAAGAGCCACATTTGCCTAATTACGGGTACTTTATATCGATTCAAGCTTAACACAAGAAGGAGAAGAGGACGAAAACAAAGCCAGTAAGAAAGGAACACTATGATAGGATTTAAAAAGCAGATAGTGGCGCACAGGAAATACTAGATTTACCCTGGAGGGAGCATTACACTGTAAGGCGAGGAGCCTGTACGTGACCAATATCTAAGAAACGAACACCTACAATAGTCAAGGCTAATGGATACTCAGTAGATCTGGTGAATCTTGTGGGCCTTACGGTTCCAATGGAGTGCATGTAATGATGTTATGCGGTATAATGCCCCTGATAGGCTTTGCTAAACTAATAGGCTTTGCTAAACTAATAGGCTTTGCTAAACTAGCAACACAAGCCACGTCCGTGTCAAGTAACCAGTAGTTGATAACAAAATCACTAGTCGATATGGCATGTCCTGAAAGCGAATGGAATGCATTACTAGTACATAATACATGTTCTGACGTCTGTGTCAGAGAGCTCTGCTCCCAGGCCCAGGCCATGCCAGGGTAATGCAAATTACACTGTATATGATAGCAGTTTTTTTTTAAAGAGTCGGCGTGGAGAAAGCAATTAATTATTTTATTAGTGCAATTAGGAGTATAATCGATGCAGACATGGCCAGACAACAACGAGAACTATTCACTGATGAGCGGAACACGAAAATCGATTTTGAATAACATAAAAATCCTTAAAAATTCCATGAACTCGTTGTTGTCTGGCCATGTCTGCATCGATTATACTCCTAATTGCACTAATAGTTTTTATTTTTATTTTTTATTTTTTACAGAATGCACCTCCTACTGATAGACCATGTTAAATTAACAAAGAGAGGAGAAGAAGAAGACAAAAGAAAATAATGATCGAGACAACAAAGGAGAAAGACAGACAATGTACTAGTAGGGGCTCTCAGGGAGCCTGTGCCAGTGAGGCGGGACTAGCAACGCCGACCTAGGGTCTCGGCGTTAGCGCTATCCAGCGCACCATGGACGGGATCACGAAACACATGTAAATAGATAAGTGAGGGGGAGGGAGTTGATTGTGGATATATGGGGTGTTACAGCGAGTCTGTAGCCCAATACCAGCGGCTTTGTCGTAGGTGCTGATGCACCTTGCCCTTGAACGACTGGAGGGACGTCAGGCGTGGCGGAGACTGCAGCACAGTTGGGGGCAAGTTGTTCCACTCGTCAATGATGCTGTAGGGGAAGCAGCGTCGCACGCAATCAGGAGAGGAAGCCGGGAGGACGTTCTGTAGCTGAGACTCGTGGCGCACCGAGTGGTCGGACCGAGTTCGAGGACATGTGCCAGTGGTAATTGCAGGCCTACTGTGCTGTGTAGGTGTTGCAAGTATTACTAAAATACTGTTGATATGGAGGCTGGCAGCACTTAGATCAAGTGAGTGATGAGTAGGATAGTACAGTGTGACGGGGGGTGTATTAGTAAGGGCAACATGCATTTTATGGGCGGGATAATGCAGCGATGTACCATGCAATTATCCCATAACGATCCGTCAACAGTTCCATCAACAGTTTAACATGTATTATCATCAGGAGCAACACACTCTTCCCCTACTATCGCCGAAGTCGCACCAACCTCTTCTTCACATTGTCGAGGAAACTAAAACAACGGAAACGGACTTTGACGCGGTTCCCACAGCGGTATTGTGTGGCACTGTGAGCCAGACCTAGGGGCTAATAGCCTATCGTTTGGTGTCGCGCAAGTAGCAGCAGATGTTCTGTTTTACGTTTTTGATCATAGTTCACCTTCCCATGGCTAGGGAATAGAGACAAAGCAAGTGAGGGGGGGGGGGGGCAATTGTAGGGGAGGGGGGGGGGGGGTAGCCATAAAGAAATATCTAACATGAAAAGAGGATGATAGCGATGCTTACGATTGCCTTCAAGTAGTTATTCCACTATATACCCTTTCATTACTGTACACAGAACAACAGCGCAGGTAGGCTAGTTTGTTATATCACAACAATTTCGGATTGTCTTTTCCTTTGGTTACAGAGGATAGCCTTCCTTTCGTCCCGGCTCATGGTGGTCAAGGCCCCAAGGATTGATTATTTGTGAACAAATTGTCAGCGGATGATGTAAATCCAGATTAGGTCAACATAGAGTGCCTATCAGAAGTGAGGTGCTGTTTTACTTAGCATTAGCATGGGTCGCGATGTACATGTACTAGTAGATGGCCTGAGATTCGGATAAAGATACCGTACTCGCGCGATTAGAGCCCTCTCTTGAATAGTGCCCTATCTCGAATAGTGCCCTAGTCTCCAAGAGCCAGTGAAAAATAAAGCCCTCTCTTGAATAGTGCCCCCGGCCTTGTAACCAAGCCCATGTGCAAGTTTGGTGTTCTTTTGCTAATGTTCTTGGCCATTGCTTTGCACTGGTGTTTTCAGGAACAAAATCGCAGGTCTTGTTCCCGTTTCTGTGGAGTCGTGAGCGTTTACAGTACACTTTAGGCTCTGTTTTTCTTTGTTTTATGCTGGATGACGCAAATGTACCAGCAATGAAAAATAGTGCCCTCTCTTGAATAACGCCCTCTCCTGAATACTGCCCCATCTGTGATGGACATTGAAAAAATAGTGCCCCAGGGGCACTAATCACGCGAGTACAGTACTTGGAAAAGCACTTTCCACACTTCCATCCAGGGTGATGCTGCGAACAACTTACACCTGTACATTGTATTTTCGTTGCAATTTCAACATACATTCGGACAAAATGTTCGCGGTTCGCATGAGACTCAGCTAGAGGTCGAGTTTTCCACATCCGTAGGAACGCCACCACCCTTCAAGGATCAAGGCGCAGATGCAGCTCCGGAAGCGGTGGGAGGTGAGCAGGTCAGACCCACCACCAAAATTGGTCAAAGACCGAAACTCCCACTTTCGGACAAAGCCCACATGTATTTGGTAGTGATGAAAAGAGACCTAAACGTAAATCACACTAGTACATCGGACAAGCATTGCAAGCAATATCCATAGGACACTCAGCTGTGACTAGATGAATACAGTCTTGTGTGAACAGGCAATGATAAGAAGAAGTAAAGTAATACGTACTGGAGCTCGTCCGGATCAGCATACGTAACTCCCTGCCCTTCAAGTCTGCCAGCTATCGTCAGAAGGTACGCAAGTAGAAGAACTACGACCCGCACGATGGGATCCGTTCCCATAGTGGCCGTGCTGCTTCCACAGAGTCAACACAACAGCAACCTTCAGTAGATGATGATAATCAATGTGGTCAGATGCTGATAGACAGATGGGGCTTACAGCAGTGAAGACACGTTCTGATGGAAACTAGGAGAAGGATTCTATAGGTCCGGTCTTCAGCTCTGGTTCATGCTGAGTGAGACGAAGACTATTGTGTACCGTTACTTTTCTTCAGGCACCCGGATACTTTGGAAAAGCCGCCGCGATCAGTATGATTGTGTGTCTCAGAGATAGCTAGCCACTGTAATGATGTGTGAGTTCCTGGTGCAGCTCATCACATGCACGCAAACCAAAACGCAGAAAATTCCAAACAGTCGGTTCGATCACCGCCAGGCAGTAAATCAGGATGAAAAGGCGGTCTAACCGTAACCAGAATGAAGGATAAGCTCGCCTATCGATCGACAGATTGACAATTCGTACACGAGCAGCCAGCACTTAATAAAAGCCATTCTGGCTCACAAGGAGAACTCACGTCTCTTCGGACACTCTATTATACCTGCTGTTATCTGCACCACCTGCTTCTACTGGTGAAAGCAGAATTTGCCACAGTTCGTTTGAACTTCCTTCCCAGGGTTTGTGGCAATTGCTTCCGTATTACAAACAACACATACGGTCAATCCCCTTACTTTGCAGATCTTCTTCATACAGCTAGCACAGCCCAGTTGACCCGGGTTCGAAGCACCCGAAGGATAAGCGCCCTGATTCACTAGCGATTGCGCCGTCTACCTGTTCGCACCACCCGTGTCACCGACCATCCCGCATTATGGTGCGACGCGTAGCTATGCAGGTGACTGTCGCGGCGCCCCTTACACAAGTTACTGCCTTAGTGGCTGCCATCAAGCGGCGGAATGCCTTGCCCCACGGGTTTCAGTCTGCTGCAAATAATGCTCCGTTTAGCCTGCCTCAAATTCTTCTATTATGGCTGACCGGTTGGTCAACATTTCTTTCTCCTAGTTCTGTTCTCTCTTCCCCTGTTCTGCTTAGTAGTAAAGAACCACATAGCCGTCAATCCCGCTCCTATTTTCCACATCGTAATGTTGTACCATTTCCATAATAATTATATATTGGGCAAGCCTGCCCGTTTGGTTTGCGATGTTATATAAAAACAAACGATGACAACGACGACGAAAACAACAACAACAACAACAACAACAACAACAACAACAACAACAACAACAACAACAACAACAACAACAACAACAACAACAACAACAACAACAACAACAACAACAACAACAACAACAACAACAACAACAACAACAACAACAACAACAACAACAACAACAACAACAACAACAACAACAACAACAACAACAACAACAACAACAACAACAACAACAACAACAACAACAACAACAACAACAACAACAACAACAACAACAACAACAACAACAACAACAACAACAACAACAACAACAACAACAACAACAACAACAACAACAACAACAACAACAACAACAACAACAACAACAACAACAACAACAAAAGCAACAATAACAGCAACAACCCTTCATAGGCACTCCAGTCGAAAGACTATTTAATTATTATTATTATTTTTATTATTTCACCGTCCAGTGGCAGAAGCCAATGCAAAGGAGGGGGCGTTAGCCAGCCATGGCAAGAGAAGAAAAAAAAAGAAAGAATGAAGGAAAGAAGATGGTAATCGGAAGAAAATAATGCATCAGCGGGGTGAAATGTATCACTATGTTGACCATGGTGGAGAGCGGCGAGATAAGCTAGCAAAAGAGGCGAGCGAGCCTACAACGTGGCATGACATTTAGTCTAATATTGGATATTGTCCTCATTTCCATGGGCAGCTTGAGCCAATACGAGTATGCAGAGAAGATAGGAGATTTGGTAAACATAGTTGACAAAGCTCTGGGAAGTACTATGCCATTGCGAGTGTCCCGTGCGAAAGTAAACCAATTATACTTGGTGAGATGTTCAGGGACAATGTTCAGTTTAATACGATAGACCAGAACGCATGACTGTCTCTGCGACAGGATAGAGATGGGGCTGGTGGAGGCCAAACTATATAGATCAGTAGAGGGGAAAAGAGAGGGTTTACGAAAAATAATTTTCAACACACGTTTATGATGTATTTCTAGTGTCTGTACAGCAGATTTACTAAGCAGGGAATGCCAAGCAGTGGCGCCATACAGAAAGATAGGAAGGAGGTAGCATTTATAAAAGAGACGAATACATTCGGGGGACAAGTGGGAGCAGTGAGACATCAGGCAACCTACAGATTTGCTAATTTTGTTGCATACAAAATCTACGTGAGAATTTCAGGACAATTGCGAGTCAAATACAACACCCAAATGCCTGTGCGTATCTACAATATTAATATTAATAGCCGAATCAAGTCCGGGAAGGGTAAATGTGGGAGGGTGGTCTAGTTGAGGGAGAAAGACTATTTCTGTTTTCTATATAATTATTGTTTTCAGACGCCATGACAACATCCATTTATGAACAACATTGATTCCATTCTGAAGCTTCGTACACAGGTTTGCAATGTCAGCGTCAAACTGAATGAGGGCTGTGTCATCAGCAAATAGTGACAAACCATCTATACAGTCAGGTAGATCGTTTATATACAACAAGAATAGTAGAGGCCCCAGTATAGATCCCTGGGGGACTCCCGACTTCACAGGCAGTGGGTCTGAGAGTACCCCTTCGACTGACACTGATTGCGTTCTATCTGTCAGGTAGTCCGTAATCCACGCCAGAGACGCTCCGGAAACATTGTACATCGCAGATAATTTAGCTAGGAGTCCACGGAACCATACCGTGTCAAACGCCTTTGCTAGGTCGAAAAACACATACCAACATGTTGGTGGTCATGACGAAGGGCCACAATGTCCTGCACAAGGCGTGTCAGCTGCATGGTGGTTGAGTCTCCTCGTCGAAAACCAGATTGGACTGGGGCAAGGGCCGGCGACACAATGTGTCGCCGGCCCTTGCCCCAGTCCATGAGCATGAGCATAAAGCATAAAGCTTATCAAAGAATAATCGCTCACATAGTTTCGATACACAGGACAACAAGGAGATAGGACGGTAATTGCTGGCTTGTGACTTGGAGCCTTTGCTCTTGTAAACCGGAATAACCTATTCTCCCGCGATGCGCAGGTGCGGAGAGCCTCCGAGGGGAGAAGGAGAGTGAGTTCTGTACTCTTGACGGCATTGAGAGCACACGAATAGCATCAAGAGTACATAACTTTGGTTACTATACATGTACATATCATACTCGGATCTTCCCAAGTTGTACATTGTACTGTTCAGATACCGAATTCAAATAAATCAATACCAATACCAAAATACTGTACACAACTTTGGTTTTCTACTATACATACATGATTCTATCATACATATAGTTTGATTATGTACTTACTGAGGACTCTTGATAGCATGTTCTAAAAGGTCTAAAAGACCGATAGATTTACTATCCCGGGTTTAGACTTAAATTATTATAAACTCGGGTTGTAGTACTGTATGCGCAATGGTCATGTATGCATATATGCCCGGCGCGGTGCTGTCTCCCACATGCACACCACGTTGACTGTGCACATGTGTTACATCACACGTCAATGTAGCTTACATCATGCCCAAAATAAGCTGGCTCATTCATGAACTATCCCAAGTACACGTAGCTTCGGTCCGGATGCTAAGTACCGGTATTTACAATCACTCTAGTGCTCCCTGGTTTGAAGGGTGCTCTGTACCCGGCCAGCGTGCCCGGCTAGGCTAGCTGGGCACACAGTCAGTCTATCTGCATTACTAAACTTCAGGCAGAGAGAAACGGGTACATAATACGGTAACTAGCTACTGGTACCGCTGCTCCTTGAGTTTTCTGTTGCACTAGTCCGTCGCCTTTTTCTGATTCGAGACTGAAAATCTTGCACAAGAGGCGACAACCCACTCTAATACTATTTCCATCCTCTTCGATCATTCACTTCGATCATTGTCTATTTTGAGCGCTGTGCTTCAGACGTGGATAATAATGGATGGATTAGCCCACGGGTTTTCGTTTCAATTGCTGGGTGACTGTTTTGATTGGCATGAAACTTTGAGCCACAACGATATTCCAATCAGTGGATCCTTTCTCTATGGTATGTAGAAAACTCTGTGCTCTGCACACTGAGAACGTTACTTTGCCGGCAGCTAGCTGCCACAACGTCCTGACCTCTCACAAAATGCTACTTCAGAAGTAGCAAAGAGGCGACGAGGAGATAGACTTTGAACTTCAATAAGGATAAGGGAAACGTGAACGCAGTCATTGGCATGGACACAGAGGAACTTGTAGTTACATGTATTTCAAACGTTTTCTCGTGGCTATCATCAGGAAAGAATCAACACAATGAATTGCAAATCAGCCAAAAACGGAAATATATAACCAGAGGGTAAGCTCATTAGCTCGCTATCTCTTATTTCAAGAGTCAGTATAAAATAGGTGATTATTACTTTTCCAGTCATTCAACAACTCAACCTTCTCTGGTGAGGCCGTTAATAGTGACCGAACCAATTGTCAGAAGGAATAAAACTTCAATGCTCGAAGGAACCTCTTGTTGCTGTTGTGGGCAAGTTAATGTATGTATGTGGTCGACCACAGAGCGCAATGGTGGTGGTGAACGTCAACGCAGAAAGGGGAATATAGTCAAAAAGGGGGAGACAATCAACGTAACAACACAGCAATGAGGAAAATCTCTTCACATATTGCAACACGGTGTAAGGGCGCAGAAAGGGTGGAGGGTTTGGGAGCTAACATTACAGGTGAGTGTAGAGGTGCAAGGTGAAAAGTGTGAGAGCAGTGACGTGTTCTTTCTGAATGCATAGGTCTGGGTTGCGTAGGCGTATGAAGATAGCTTCTAAGTAACGTTAGCTGACCGACACTATTGGCGTAACACAAAAACTGACTTACTACTTCAATCGACATCGACAAGGGAGACACCTGTGATGGAAGCAATAGACCCGTACGTGCAGATGTTTTGTTGCAAGATCAGAGATTGTCAGGGTTAGGAACGGAAGCACTGACGATGTGCAGCGAATGCCCCATGCAGTGACCGCTGGGACCCCCCCCCCCCCCACGTTGCCTGGTTTTCCGTTTGCCCTTTTGTTCTTCTGTAGGTTTTATCATTATTTTGTCTTCTACCCCGTTCCCTCCTCTCTCCTCTTATCAAAACCACTTTATTGCAACTAACTTTGCACCCATTCCGCCACGTTTGTCTTCAGCGCCATGGTGGTGAAATTTGGTAGTGAAGCACTGATGCAGTGATGGCTGAATACTATTATTATTCAACTACATGTACAAGCGTAGCTGCAGTGGTGTCTTCCAATTCCTTTTCTCTTCGACGTGCTTGCCTTATCGCCCAAAATGTTGAGTCTTTGGAGAGAAACATGTATCTCCAAAATTCATCAGTGACAGTGACTACTTCTGATAGATGAGAAAGAATAGCATTGATTGGTGAATTGTTCTAAAATGGCAGAAGGAAGAAGGAGCCATTCCGCGAAATCAAGAAACAGAGGTGAATTAGGCAGTGGGTAGAATCAGTGAATTCCGTGTTCCACTGCTAGAGGAATCAGATGACCGATTATAAGATGTGGGGATGTAGGCAAGTCAGTACGTCTCATAGCCACCATCATGATTGATTCCCGTTATGGTTGACTGCTTTTCTGCATCATTTCTAGCTGTTAGTAGTACTGCACCCTGATTTCTAGCGCATGCCATACCCAATACGTGTACCAGCAATGCTGGAGCTTGCATGGTCGCCGCTGGTTGTTGTACAGTAAGTATCGTTTATAAAGTGACCGGATATAATGATATACCGGTTATAGTGATAGAACACGTCAAAATCAAAATCAAATCAGAAAAAAATACAGCTAAAATATCACTATATACACTATTATCGGCTATACCGATATATCGCTTATTGTGATGGACTTCAGGAAGCAAACCATATCAAATGTACAGGAAAATATCGCATATAATGATCAAGAGTGATGATCACACATGTCCGTTTCTGGCTGTGCTACCCCTCGCAATGTGCTCCCTTTGTCCGTTTCTGTATGCACATGTCCTTTTCTGGCTGCGCTACCCCTCGCTCCCTTTGTATGGTCTTGTCCTTTTCTGTATCTTTCTGCATGCTCTTGTCCGTTTCTGGCTGTGTTGCCTCTCACGATGATGTTGCCAACTCACGTACACAGCCACTCATGTCTATTTCTGGCTCTACGCAACTCGTTGAATTGGACACCCAGTAGATCTACGTGAGTACGGATCCAGCTCAGGCTTTTTTTGGAGAACACGCTGAAGAAGCAGCCATGCCACATGATGCATCGAAGTTCTAGTACATGTACAGTCTGTACTCGTACTGCACTGCCATGCACTGCTCTGTGTCATGCACCGGTACACAGTCCGCGGAGCATGCATGCACTTTCAGCATGCTTTTTCCAGCGTGTACCAAGAGTACATAACCCCCCAGAGTGTGCAACTCCACTATGGGTGCTGTCCCGACAGAATTTCAAGTTGACGTCATTTTGATGATGCAATGCGCACTGTACACGGATTATCAGACGAACCCGGAACCTGTGGTCGACCGAAGCCGATCGATCCTGTACAAATTATTGCAAAGAAAAACGTGTGATGCGTTGACACCCGTACACATGTTGTAAATCACTGCTGCAAGGAGCATTGCGTCATAAATAATGACGTCAACTTGAAATTCTGTCGGGACAACAGGGTATGTGGGAGTTGCACACTCTGGGGGGTTATGTACTCTTGCGTGTACGCATCATTTCATGTGCAGTCATGTGCCATGTGTCGGTCAAACATGCAAATCGGCTATAGTGATGCACCGGATATAGTGATAAATTTTCGAAAATCAAAGGGGCACGTTATATCCGATATTTACTGTACCAGTTTCATCATTTTTTTTAGTAAGCATGTCAAGTTCATAGGGCGTGGCACACTCTATAGAAAGCATTCACCAAGTTTGCCCGATATAAATAATAGAAACATTCTTTCACCTCGAGATCAAATTGTTGTTGATTTTATTTGGATCCACTGACCAAAACGGACGCTGACATGTACATGTACTTGAAGTACATGATTGTACATGGATATCCAATGACACAAACTCATTCACCTGCCATTCACTATCCGTACATGACTGTAGTACTAGTATCTACTGCTGCCTCCACTAGCACTGGTAAGCTGACATTACCCACCAGGTACAATGTACTTCCATTTGTCAAGCCATATTGAGTACCGGTACTAGTACTGACAGTCTGTACATGTACTAGTACTAGTATTGTTCTCCAAAGTCCAAGTGCCTATGCAATAGCCAATAATCAATAGGCATGGCACTTGGAGGATCCTCGTGTACATGATGTAGATCTGCTTACTCTCCAGTACCGGAATTGCACAATTAAATGTCATACACTCTACTAGTATACTGGGCACCAATCGGCAATCCTGCATGACATTGTTGACATTATGTATTGACATTATTGATGACTTGGACAGCAGCCGCAGTTCCGATCTGATCCATGATCACCGTAACCGCGAGGTGGCCATGGCTTCATAATCATACCCAGAAACACTACATCAATCACCATCAACACTTCTGAAGTGCAGTGCCACTTCCAGTCACGGTTTGGTCACAGGTACTAGGTGTGAGTACTTCTGGAGTCTTCGACTGAAGGGTCGGCCGCGGCCCGGGTTTGCCTAGGCCGCTGTTCTTGCCTGCACACTACGTGCTAGCAGTGTGTACTGCCCAGGCACTGACACAATCATTATGACTCGTAAAACGCTAAGACTATCTGCCTGCTCTCAAACCAGTCTGGCTAAAGTACCAAGTAACCATGGTAACAGCCAGTGTAACACTACTCTGTCACTACAGTCCATTCATAAAAAGATGGGTCCTGGCTCTGGCGAGCTCCCGTATTTGGCGATTTTTCGTGATTTCATCGTACACAGTGCAGTGCTGCGAACTTTGAAATTTGAAAAAGGGTCCAAAAAGGGTGCCTGAACTGGGGTTCGAACCGTAGAATGCACTGTTGCAGGCGGGGTCAAACGGCCTGGATTTTGATGGTTTTTCCCAATTCAGTGCTTTTGGGGCAAAACCTGGCCGAAATCCTATTCTTGCTATGGCTTGCTTTTTGGACAAAAAAACTTCAGAAACATAATTGGAAGAGGATTCCATATGGGATTGCAGAAAAAAATTCTAAAAAAACTCAACGTTTGACCCATTTATGGCCAAAAGCTAGAAGTTCATTTTTTTCTGAATGGACTAGTACTATACTAGCTAACCCGACTACTAGTACTACTACTGCTGCTGCTGCCGCTGCTGCTGCTGCTGCTGCTACTAGTACTAGTCCAGGCTTCCAGTTCTACTAGCTCACCTAACTACTGTAGTTACTTTTACAACAACAATTAGAGCTTGAGTAGGCTGAGGAAGATTGTGCCTGAAAAGCACCACTTATAGTTATAGGGCTAGGTTATACCCAATTTCCGGACAACTACATGTAAGTTATTACTATTAGCACGGTTTCATCCTCTTTCCCTGTATTGTTTGTAAGTTATCATAAGCTCTCTGATCAGCGGAGCGCTGAGTGACTGAGTGACTGAGTGACTGGCCGAACCGATCGTAAGAGGTCTACACAGTGAACAATGAAGCATTTTTTAATACAAAGTAATAGTTGGTTGCTCCCGACACCATAGCAGTCGCGCTTCTCCCCACCGCGATTTGACTTGACAGTTGACTGACTCACGATTGCCATCCAGAGCACACGAGAATTCCATCAACCTTCGACTGGTGCAAACCCGCAAGAAAACACCACTGCCTGCTCAATGCACAAATCCCTCATGTACGAGTTGAATTTTAATAGGCTGAGGAAGATTGCGCTTGAAGAACACCACTTTTATAATGATTTCCAGGCAAAATATTTGTGACATCACCAGGGATACTAGCTTACTGTACACAGTTTCAGAGACACTCTGTTTCCACTATTGCAGCGCCATAAACACCTCGTGAACGCCAGACAGCAGCGTGAGTTAGTGTTGCTCCTGGATGTGCTAACAACAGTAAGTACTTTTGCAACCAGGCAACACAACTGTTTCATATTGAGTATAAATTACTTCATTACTTCGAAGTATGTTGCGTGCAAAATCAAAAGAAGGCAATTGGACTGCGAATGCACCAATGTCTAACAATAAGACGGCGCAGCACTAGCAAACACAAACATTTTCTTGCAGGCACTTGCAGGAGAAAAACAAGTTTATATATATTATTCTGGTAGCGGCATTTGCATGAGAACAAGCCATATGCAGCAAGCAACATCAAACTGAGAACTGCACGTTGCCAAGCACAGGAACACCAGTAAATGCTGTTCAACATCACAAAGCTGCCGGGCACATGCGACTAGAGTTCTATGCAGGCAAAACAAAACAAATGGAGTGAGCACTGCTTGCGTACAACTTGACTAAGACTCAGCAGAATGCGAATGATGGTAGGGATGGGGATTGTAGGGAGTGAACAGATACAAGGTTTCAGGATGCAACACAACTTACAAAAGACGTGGCAGGACTGGGCTGTGAGAAACATGATCATCATCATTGTACATGTAGAACTGTAGCCGGTCAGGCGGTCAGGCCGCCGCGATCAACCTATGATTCCACAGAGGAATACCTGTAGGGGTGGGTGTTTGCTCAGACTCTCCTCGGCATACCACGAACTCATGCACAGTCATCCAACTATCCTACCAAGTTTGTTGATGGCATGGGTGTAGTACTGTAGGGTGTCGTGGCTGCACATGACGCTGGTATGGCCGGGCACACTGGGCATGATGGTGCTGCAAGGAGTCACAGAAGGGTGCGGGACAGACACCTAATGATACCAAGTACTACCAAACATTGCTGCACAGACAATGTTGGGAGGAGAGATAGTCATGTATTTAGCGCACTTATCTCACCCCATTCATCATCCTAGACAACGGAAGAGTGGAGCAGGAGGGATGCAGGATGTTGTTCCAGCGCTAGTGAAGTCAGGAAGTGATTTCATCTGAAATATGCTAGACACGTGAATCTGCACATGTGCCCGTTAATAGAGAGCAAGAAAATCCCCCCCCCCCCTCTCTCTCTCTCTCTCTCTCTCCCTCAGCTAGTCAAGCATCATGTTACTATTTGACAATGTCATGTCAGTGCATACCTTTACAAGCCTGACAACAGTCACCTGGTGCTGTGTAGCGATCAGCCTAGAGGAACAGCACAAGCACACCGTAACAACAACAACAACAACAAAAATTGGCGATGGTGCCATCGTGAGAATAAAGAATTCAAAACAACAACGACAACAACAACGACAACAACAACAACAACAACAACAACAACAACAACAACAACAACAACAACAACAACAACAACAACAACAACAACAACAACAACAACAACAACAACAACAACAACAACAACACAATGCAGAATGGACAATCACAGTTGCAGTCCCAATAATCATTGCTGTATGCAGAACAAATCGTGCTCAGTGTCATGCTCAACTATAGTCTGTTTCAAAAAGATTTACAATCAGGTTTGGGTCTTAAAAAGTATGAAGATAAGGGAAATTTGGACAACAAAGTATATAGAATGGCTTGTTAGGACACGGCAAATTGTTCTGTGAAGGTTTCGGAACAATTGGATCAGCCGTTAAGGAGTAAGAATTTCGGCCAGGTTTCCGGCCTTTTCCCATGGTTTACAATTTGCCCAGGAAGCCAGTATCGATTTTTTATCAAAACTCACGATTTATCCTTTCCTTTTTGGCCTTGTGGTAATGAATGCTGTCTGCTGACCATGAAGTTGTGAGTTCAAATCCCAACCTATCCTCAAGTCAAACTTTTTTTCTTCATTGTTTTGGTGATCAAGCTGGTACAAGACAAAAAAGATGGCTGCACCAAACGACTTGTTGTTGTTGGAGCTCGCGCTTCCTGCCGAACTGACTGACACTTGACTGGCTCACGCCATGTGAACACACCCACAACACTGCAATGGTGTGAGTGAATATGGAAGTCATCGCGCTGTAGCTTTTTGAGATTTATTGTAGTATTTCAAGATCTTCAAGATCGCCAATTTATTTGAATTTAGCAGTCAACGCCGTCTTCTATCAGCGTTCACAAGCGTCTGCTTTCCTCAAAATGTTGTCGAAATCACACGGATAGCTTTGCCAAGTCATGGCCTTGGGAATGAGTCCGTGTCGATGTCGTTTTCGTCACACGGTGAGTAAATTGCATCGCAGCTCAAAGAAACTATTTTGGTCACAAGACGAATTGGGACCCATGCCGCTCGTCAACATTAACAACATTTTCGTTTCGACATGTCCTCTCTGACTCCATTATCGATACGAAGAAGAACTCGTTTGTTGTAAGCCAGACGACAGACGTACATGTACATGACTGTATCAACGTGAGTGAGTTGTCATTTTTCCTGCTTTCGCGCGGAATATTTCTTCGAGTTCACAGTGAGTTTTTCCAGGCAGCGCTCGAGTGCTCATACGGTAAGACGCCAAACTCCGCGGGCGATCGCCAGGATTGCAAATCTTTTTGAAACGGACTGTAGCTGAGACATTGTGAAGATCATAAACCATGGGTGATGAGTGGTGAGATTTGATGCCAGACTGCGGTAGGGCTGCTGTGGATACTGTGAATATGACATGGAGACTCAGTACCAATTCGGCCTCGGAAGCCATTTCTACTCGCGAAATCAAATAAAACAAAAAAATGCACATTACACACAGCATACAGAATTGGGTACACGTTACATACATAGTAAAATGAAGTTTCCAGAATGCCTGCTGGCTCAATGCAGGCATGTCAAAGGCATACAATACTATTATAGGTAGGTGGTAGTGGACAAGTTCATGCAGTGGTAAGCCAGGGGATGGGGACTGCACAGCAGTCTTATTCAGTTATTGTACTGATGCAGCACTCACCTGTGGACAGGAAAGTGGCGGGCACTTTACCACTGAGCATTTGTCAACTGAACAAACAAGTACAGCAGACAGTGAACAACATGCCATCAAACAAGCTGCAGAGAAGTGCTGTGAGCTTTAAAGCGGGCATCCACCAACCAGATGGAGCACTTCAAAAGTACCATTTATGATTTCCTATTCGGATAACGAGCTGTTCAAACGAGGCGTGAGAGGTTCACACGTCTGCTAATAAAGGGTAATGGACACTGCGAGGCAAGGAGGTTACCTAAGGAGGGCAGACCAATGTCAGGAAAATACAGTTGTCTGCTAAAGCTGATCAGGAACTTCTTGCACGGTGAACTCAAGTGTACTACTTCCTCCGCGTCATTAAAATTGTCGCTTCCCAGAGCGATTCTTCGAATTTATTTTGTCCACTCGAAGGGCAAAGAAATCAGGTGGAAATTGAGGCAGAGCATTGTCTACGGACCAAGCTTTAGTGTGTGGCCTCCCGCTTCGCTTCACTTGCAGCTTAGGTCGACGCCTTCATCAGAGTTTGAGGCAGACCCTTCAGCACTCAACACTCTGAACAAGATGCGCGTTCAAATTCAGGTCAAGAAACTTCGTTTTCAAGCGATCCATGCCTCCAGGTGGCAGGCGATGAAGGCAAGCTAGCATTTTTCAAGTACAGTCGAATGTCACCTATCCGACCACTTCGGGAATCAGGCATGTTGGATAACTGATACGTTGGATAACTGATATCATTTTTTATGTGCATATATGGCTGGATTTCACTGATTTATGTACACAACACCCAAATATTAGTGTTGAAACGATCTCACCGGATACTCGTTAGCTTGCTCGCCAGAAACTCGGCTCGTTTGTGCGGCCAGCTCGTTTGCACTAACGAGCACCGTACACCGTACTCCGTACACATATATGTACATGGCTGTACATGTCGACCGGGGAGTCGTAAACTATTTTACGACTCCCTGGTCGATCGAGAGTCCAGTCCCGCGCAAAGTGAAAATCACTCGCAGTTACAGGTGACTGTATGCCTGCACGACACTTGAGTTGTTTCAGTTGTCGTTGCAGCTTTGGTGGACTCTACTGATGTCTTGTTCCGCATCTGCTGACCTGTCGCAGGATATGCTTCGGTCACCTCTCCATTCGAGTGAAAGTTACGCTCAGTCGTTTGGAAGTTTTCTCCCGCGATGCAGCGAAGACCAGGGCTACTTGCAATCTTTGCAAAACGGTCTATTCTTACAAAGGCTAATCGACGACGGCGCTGAAAAGACATCTCGACACCAAACAGCAATCCGAACGTGAAGCTGCAGCAACCCCAAATGCCGGCGGTGATAATTGAACCAGCTGAAAAAATCGAACTAATACTTAGAAAAAAAATTATTCAAAAAAATAATCATATTTGCCACATCAATGAAACTCGTTAGCTCGCTCGATAGCTTGCTCGTTAGTGGAACTGATCGCTCGTTTGTTATAGATACGCTCGTTTCAACACTACCAAATATATTCATGCATATGCATGAATTGCTCCATGTACACATACATGTTAGCATACTTGACCACATCTACTTCAAGTAAATGCAAAATTACACCGTATAATATATATAATTATAATATAGGCTGCTCTAGTGCTGCTGCATCGCGCAATGCCCGCTACTTTTTGTAGTTTGAGCACTCTGGCGCTAGAGCGACGAGCTATCTTAATGTCTGTGGTGCCGCCTTTGCACCATGGCTGGTAGCTCGGCCTATTTAGCTCGTAGCTGTACTGATGAGGCCTTTATGGCCGAAACAGCTTGCTGTCTACAGCATCGGGTATCACGCTCCTCGGCTTTCGCCTTGTTGAGCACTCTCAATAGGCTACATTGCATGCTGAAGCTCAAGGCAGACTGGTCTAACATGCCTACATTGCATGCTGAAGCTCAAGGCAGACTGGTCTAACATGCCTACATTGCATTCTGCATTCTGCATGCTCAGTCCAGGGGACAAGCAACTCACCACATTTGCCCTCATCACAGCCACACTCATTCTTGGTGATCACCAACGTCTTATTGCACTGGACAATGGGAACACATCAAAGTAGAAGGATGCAGGGATTAAGGGGAAACCCCACCATGACCGTAGTGCATTGGAGATGGCATCCTTTTGTTTTGGAATCTAGACCATGAATATAATTTCAGTCAACTTCGCTAATAACGACTGCGGATATAACGACAATTCGCGAATAACGACAGAATTTCCAAGTCTAGAGCAAGTCCCATCCCACTGTAATACATACTATTATTATAATGAGACTTCGGGTATAACGACACTTCGCGAATAAGGACACCTTTTTGATGCCCCGCCGAGTGTCGTTATAAGCGAAGTTGACTGTATAAGGTTATTATTGACATGTCCGTGCTGAGCACTTATGTACTACGGCATGGGAAGGGTCACAACAATAATTATATTGAAGTGACAAAAATTCACAGGAAATAATTAGGAATGGCCAGGATCAGGACAAAACAGACTATGCTGGGATAGTATAGACTCAAGACTATTGGCACGAGATGCCAGGGCCACCAAGATGATAGCCAGGGAATTGGATTACCGGCTGGCTTATTTTTTTTGCACAGTTCCGCAAGTCTGCATCACTCCACACGTGCACAGTACTGCATGGTAATGTAGGACTATCACTCCTTGTTTTACTCAAACGGAGTAGCAATGAACCAGCAGAGTAATAAGAACTATGAAGTGCTATCTACTAGTATTTACATGCAAGCAAACTACCCTGCGTACAGTACTGTTGCCTGCCCAAGAACTGGGGTTCAGCCTCGTAGCAAGAACTGGGGTTCAGCCTCGTAGCAAGAACTGGGGTTCAGCCTCGTAGCAAGAACTGGGGTTCAGCCTCGTAACAAGAACTGGGGTTCAGCCTCGTAGCAAGAACTGGGGTTCAGCCTCGTAGCAAGAACTGGGGTTCAGCCTCGTAGCAAGAACTGGGGTTCAGCCTCGTAGCAAGAACTGGGGTTCAGCCTCGTAGCAAGAACTGGGGTTCAGCCTCGTAGCAAGAACTGGGGTTCAGCCTCGTAGCAAGAACTGGGGTTCAGCCTCGTAGCAAGAACTGGGGTTCAGCCTCGTAGCAAGAACTGGGGTTCAGCCTCGTAGCAAGAACTGGGGTTCAGCCTCGTAGCAAGAACTGGGGTTCAGCCTCATAGCAAGAACTGGGGTTCAGCCTCGTAGCAAGAACTGGGGTTCAGCCTCGTAGCAAGAACTGGGGTTCAGCCTCGTAGCAAGAACTGGGGTTCAGCCTCGTAGCAAGAACTGGGGTTCAGCCTCGTAGCAAGAACTGGGGTTCAGCCTCGTAGCAAGAACTGGGGTTCAGCCTCGTAGCAAGAACTGGGGTTCAGCCTCGTAGCAAGAACTGGGGTTCAGCCTCGTAGCCCAGGTCGTTCTTATTTCAATCATTCAATGTACTACAATGTAAAGTCTATGTGCAGTTAAGTCACTGCGCCCATATTGGTGTGCTACGCTAGGAGACATCCCAGCCTGTTTATTCTTCGGCGGTGCTCCGTTCATAGGTACCCACCAGTGCTGTAGGCGTTCTGGTCGTTGTTCAATCAGCAATTCTACATCAGCCTGGCTGTTGATTGTGAAAGGGATGGCCAGGAGTTGAGGGGGGGGGGGCGGACGCTACACTATGGTGGTTTGGCTACAACCCTGCGCACCCTGCGCACCCTGCACCGCCCTGCACACCCTGCACCGCCCTGCACATTTGTATACAGCCATGTACAGCCATGCACAGTCATGCACCGCCATGCACATTATAGTGTGGAAATGTGCAGAGCGTAATGGTTTCGGTTTACAATTCAAAACTGTCAAAATTAGGAATACATTGGCACACTTTCAACAATCCATCAAAAACAGTTGAGGTGGCAATACCTAATTGCTTGATGTTCCAGGTACAGCTAGCTATCGTATGCAGTGTGTAGCATTGAACACAGGAGTATTTGCTGGCAAATACACTGATACACTGATGATGTACTGCAGTCTGTATTACAGTTAGTACAGTGTGAGGTATGAGCAAGAGTACATAACCTCCCGGAGTGTGCAACGCCTGATCCAGCTCTGCATAGGGTCTTGGTCGAGCGTAGCCGGATCTTCTGATGTCATGCATACACTCCACACCAGCGCAAGGCCGGTCTCGAGGCAGGGCACCGTTGTTTTTGATCCAAGAGTACCCGCGACTCCCCGGGTTCCCCTCAGAAGTGTACGGTATTATGACGCAAAAATCCGATTCCGCTCGACCAAGACCCTATGCAGAGCTGGATCAGGCGTTGCACACTCTGGGGGGTTATGTACTCTTGGTATGACTTGTCAGCCTACACTGAGTACATGCGTTAGTGTTATCATACGTTGGTGTTAGGTAGACATTTCAGCAGTAGGAGCAGATTACTTACGTCATCGCATGTCTTATTGACGGCACTGCAATTTAGTGGACACACTGGAGAACAGAGGGAAACAATACACACAGCATTCAAGCAGAGGCAGTGTGACTTCCATGACTCACTACACAAATGCACACCTCCAGGGCTGCACACAACCACACACACACACACACAACCACACACACAGCCGCACACAACCACACACACAGCCGCACACAACCACACAGCCACACAGCCACACACACACACACACACACACGCACGCACGCACACACACACAGCCGCACACAGCCGCACACAAGCGCACCCCCCCCCCCCACACACACACGCAGCCGCACACACACACACACACACACACACACACACACACACACACACACACACAACCGCACACATCACTGCGCACACGCAGCCTGCACACAACCACACACGCACACACACACACACACACACACACACACACACACACACAAAACCGCACATAGTTCTGTGTCATCCGTGTTTTCAGACGTCCATGCACAAATGTGTCTGCATACGGTGCATATTTACTAGGCGGATTTCAAGCAGTACATCATGTATAGATCAGATGTATAGAATGTGTAGTAATACGTCATGTATAGAATGTGTAGTAATACGTCATGTATAGAATGTGTAGTAATACGTCATGTATAGAATGTGTAGTAATACGTCATGTATAGAATGTGTAGTAATACGTCATGTATAGAATGTGTAGTAATACGTCATGTATAGAATGTGTAGTAATACGTCATGTATAGAATGTGTAGTAATACGTCATGTATAGAATTGCAGAATGTGACATGGAGACGTTTCAACAAACACGCACAGTCAGTACAATGAGATTCCAGTAGATGCAGCAATCATGCATGTCCGGTATCCTGGGAAGATCATCGTGAGTCCGGTATCCTGGGAAGATCATCGTGTGTCTTACACCACAGCCGGATAACACAACATAAACACAAACACATGGCATGCGAACATGGCCTCCTCTACTCACCGCATTCTGTTACGTTGCAGCAGCTACAGTTTTCTCCGGACGGAATGAGAGGTGATACAAAAGTTGTGTTAAGAATTTTCGGTGAGTACTAGATAGAAAAGGGACATTGACATTGACATTGGTTGCACCATGTTAGAAGTGGTTAGAGGAAAAAACAGTGAAACTCAGTGCAATACCGGATAGTCAGAAATAACTGGCAAGTTAGATAGCATACTGCACTAATCATCATCATCATCATCAATTTTAGCAGGTCTGGGGGCCACAGAGTTCCCAGATAAATATGAGCAGGTCTGAGGCCACAGAGTTCCCAGATCAGTGTCAAGTGCAGGTCTGGGGCCACACAGTACCCAGCGCATGCTGGATTCCTGAGATCAAATTTCATTGAGCAACACTGAATCAAATCTGAAACATGATTTGGACGAAAAACCCACTGACCATAGCTGCCCTAATTCTTTCCCAAAACCAGTCATTGCCCTTGAGTGGACATTCTGGATGCATGCAAGGTTTGGAGTGTCCTAACTCTATAATTATAGTACTGTAAAAGCAGAAATTTTCGGTGGTGTTCTATTTCCCGTAACTTCAGTGCCGACAATTTGTACCTAAAATAAAGCGCAATCAAAAATTTCGGTACTATAAAATAGTACTAGTACACTTACCTGGAAAACGAGTTTACCGAAAATTTCCCTCCAACGAACCGCCGATTTTTGGAAAATACCGAAAAATTTACACCACCGAAAATTTCTGCTTTTACAGTAGCTATATGCTGCAGTGGACATCGTCCAAGCGATAATCTGTACTCTGCCATCACAAATAGTACTCCTTGATAATCTGTACTCTGCCATCACAAATAGTACTCCTTGATAATCTGTACTCTGCCATCACAAATAGTACTCCTTGATAATCTGTACTCTGCCATCACAAATAGTACTCCTTGATAATCTGTACTCTGCCATCACAAATAGTACTCCTTGATCATTTGTACTCTGCCAACAAAAATAGTACTCCTTGATAATCTGTACTCTGCCAACAAAATAGTACTTGCCACTAGCATAACAGTACTCACACAAGGCGGAGGTGGAGGGCACAGGGATGGCTTACACTCTGCACATGGAGCAAAGGTGGAATGGAAGAAAAACAGTATTCTCAATACAAATTATGCGGGTTGCCCGTCTATCCGTCTGCCTTCTTGGACTGCTGATACTAAACTAGAATCGAGGCTAGTTTTTACAATGCCAAACTAGAGTTTCATTGTCTATCAACTGCTTTTTTTAAAGGGTAGTAACACCTACAGTGATAATAGTGACCAAAGTGCTACCAGCATAGCCTTCATATACATATAATTACAGCCTTCATATTATAGAGTAAGATCAAGAAATTCGGAGAAACTCGGAGTAAGTTCTCAGTTGTCCTTTCCTCAACGACTTGTAGCCTTCACATACAGCGTATAGTGCGCACTTTAGATGCGCTATTTCAGGCATCAAATCGCACGTGAGCACTATGCTCCGAATATGAGAATGCATGCACTTTGAAAAGTAGTGCAATGTATCAAACTGTTGCTAAGTTCAGCCCTCACCAACGCTGTACAAAGCGTCACTGGCCCGTTTCTCAACGGTCGCGCTAATCGACCAATCAGCGTACAGCTAATGTACCAAAATTCTCAAACTTGCCGTAATTCCTTGGTTCCTACGGTGTAGTTTCCAAAGATTTTTTATGGACCAACGGCTTCTTTCGATAGATACCAACAGATCGTCCGCTTCGAATTTTTCGATTTGATTGCCGTTTGGCCGAAAATTACCTCCGAAACCGGCCTCCACTCGTTTCACTTCAAGGCTTTCCAGGTGGACGGCATCGCAATTCGGAAGCGGAGAAAGGATAGCCAGTGAAAAAAGAAAAACAACGACGTATTGGTTGTCAAAATCGACCAAGAAATGAATTCAATAGACCCGTTTCCGTGCTGCGCCCTCGCGGCCCGCGCGAGTGCGAAAGGGATTCTTTCTCGACAAAACAAACAACAACTATGCGCAGTACATGCAGGTGCTTTTTGCAGTGCAGTACACTGACATCACTGCACTGGCTGTACCGTATACCTTAGGAATATCCTGTTCTTTTCCAAGGCATGATTGTGGCTAGTGGGAGAACTCAGCCACCTGAAGCTTTCATAAAGGAAGAAGTAGTAGGTGGATGAGTTCGCCAGAAAATGGAACGACAAGAAAATAGCCTGATACTGTCGCTTTCGGGCGCTCATGAGACGACGGCAAGATAGGACTGAAACGATCGACAGTCTGTCTCGACGCAAAAGAAACTCTTCTAGGAGAAGCTCGACGTGCTGTAGAGTTTGCAGTATTCTGCTGGAAGAAGACAAGAGAACTAAACGCAGACTACAGCGTGGAGCTGAAGCACGAGCGAAGCAAAAGCTGAAGCAAAAGCTGAGCGAGTTCGAAGAAATGGGGAAACACAGGAAAATGAGTGGGCGAGATGATCTTTAGCTCGAAGCTCGCGCTAAGACACGCGGTGGGCACGTGCGCCTACAGGTAGCGCGGCCAGCCACCATGTTTTCAAAATGGAGGTCAACGCTTTTGAAATCCGTGTAGACGATGGTGAGGGCTGAAGTTTGCCACCTCTGAGTCTATGACTCTGCACAAGCCATAACCATGCATTTGTGGTGTCTTCTGCCAGCTACACTGCAAAATTATGCAAGATGGATTCAAGACCCATAGGTAACATATGCAGCATATATGGCAGTAGGGTAGCTTTCCAAAGTACCAAATACAGCACAACCGAGGCAGGAGCTGCATGCACACAGCATCTGTATAACCTGGGTGTTGTCACGTGCACGCACACACGTGCACGTACACACACACATACACACACATACACACACATACACACACACACACACACACACACACACAAATCACTTACGAAGCTGTCTAGTACAATCGGGGCTGTCCAAAACGCACACTTCCGGCATTTCATTGTAGTCAGTGTGGCTCTGAACAGCAAAGCATAACACAGTGTATAGCATACAGTACACACAACACAGTGTATAGCATACAGTACACACAACACAGTGTATAGCAGAGAACACACAACACAGTGTACAGCAGAGTACGCACAACACAGTGTACTTCCTCCACGTCATTAAAAGTGTCGCTTCCCAGAGCGATTTTTCAAATTTATTTTGTCCACTCGAAGGGCAAAGAAATCAGCTAGAAATTGAGGCGGAGCGTTGTCGACGAACCAAGCTTTAGTTTGTAGCCTCCCGCTTCGCTGCACTTGCAGCTAAAGTCGACGTCTTGATCAGAATTTGAGGCAGACCCTTCAGCACTCAACAATACGCTGAACAAGACGCGCGTTCAAATTCAGGCCAAGAAACTTTGTTTTCAAGCGATCCATGCCTCCAGGTGGCAGGCATTGACGGCAAACTAGTAATTTTCAAGTACACTGTAACAGCCTTCCAGCGGGACAGGGTGAGCAGTTCCGCACCTTCTTTCCTTGGCAAGCGCTTCGCTGATTTTGTTGGTGTTTTGAGACCTGCTACCTTCGCAGCAACATGCGCCACACGTAGCGCATTATAGGAATTTGAGAACATTTTGTTCTTGCTGTCGTCAACTTCAGCATTTCGAATTCAGGAGACATAGCAGGATTCTTATACCCGATCTTGCAGTCTTGATAAATGCCCACGCGAATGATGTGGGATGGCACGATTTCCAGGAAAAACGATACGCGCTCTGGAGCGGAATAGTGCGGAGCGCGATGAAGTTGTTTGGTGTAGAGGAGAGCTCCGACAAAGTCCGAGACCACCACGGCTTCAGTAGCAAGTAGACTCTGTGCAGAAAGGGTCGCACCAATGTTTGAACACAGAAAACAACGATTCTGACAGTCTCACTAAGACGAGCAAGTCACAAACATTGCGATGTGCGAAGCGACAATTTTAATGACGCGGAGGAAGTACTAGTATAGCACAATCCACTGAGTGACCAAGAACAGCTCACTTCATCTAGGCACTAGGATCCAGGACTGGTGCATGCACAAAGCAGCAGTGTACGTGGCTGCTCATCCAACCACCACACACACACACACACACACACAGTGCTTGAAGGGCATCAATGACACACTTACCACTCTCGAAGCACACTCGTTCATAGGCAATGCAAGTCTTACCACATGTGTTGATGGTATGCAGGCAAGCAAGCGAGTGAGTGAGTGAGTGAGTGAGTGAGTGAGTGAGCGAGTGAGTGAGTGAGTGAGCGAGTGAGCAAGCGAGTGAGTGAGTGAGTGAGTGAGCAAGTGAGTGAGTGAGTGAGTGAGCAAGTGAGTGAGTGAGTGAGTGAGTGAGTGAGTGAGTGAGTGAGCAAGCGAGTGAGTGAGTGAGTGAGTGAGTGAGCAAGTGAGTGAGTGAGTGAGCAAGCGAGCGAGTGAGTGAGTGAGTGAGTGAGCAAGTGAGTGAGTGAGTGAGTGAGTGAGCAAGCGAGTGAGTGAGTGAGTGAGTGAGTGAGCAAGTGAGTGAGTGAGTGAGCAAGCGAGTGAGTGAGTGAGTGAGTGAGTGAGTGAGTGAGCCAGTGGTACTGTGTATCGAACGCATCACAGTGAGTGGTATTGTGTACCTAACGCATTATGAAGACCAATTACACTGGGTCACGGCACAATGTAATCACTTAACTACTTTTGAAGTACAAGTACATGCACCAGCGGGAGTATTCTGTGTTTTCAAAATACCTCACACGTAGATTACAGTATGCACCTGCATATATGCATCCATTAGTCCAGCTATTATTGATAGTCTTCTCTGGTAGGAGTGACTCATCACCGAAAGCTACAGACTAGCATCGCTGTATTCTCCACTCACAAGTTGCAATCAAAACCGACATAGCCAACATTCAAGCATTTTAACATGATGCCCATGTTGGAATTACACCGTTAGTTGGGAGTTGACCTGTCGACAATACGCAAGGATTTGGGTAGGGAGAGCAACTGCAACAAGACAAAGAGATGCTCCACTTACCCTACAAGTGCTGTTGTATGGGCACACTGGCTCTACAGTGACAAGCAAATAGAAGCAATCGCAACACTTGGAACAACACCAATGGATCTGACAGACTACTTAACTGACTACAAGAAACGGTCAGATTGTTCAACAAGAGCGGGTAGTTTTACTGCACAATGTCTCCATCGTTTGACACTGCACGAATAAACACGGTATACACGTGTCGATTCAGCTCGTCTTATCGATCGCGGTTTTATGAGCGGGTCGGATTGATGTTCTTCTTGTTTGCCGCGGCACACAGCCACCCAGTTTCACAGTCTCACAGTCGATTGAGGGTGAGTCAGGGTGTTAGCAAGCCAAACATGTCAGTGTTGTTTGATTGCAATCGTGTGTGTATGCCTTGTGTACATCGAGTACTCATTGCATATGCCGCACGTATTATTCAGCCTCTGAGACACTGCACACATCTGCGGTATGTGACTGGCCTGGCTAGACATGCGTGGACTGGAAAGTGGACTGGACAATGATCAACAAGTCCGAAGTTGTGTAACTGCCTCATGGAATCCAGGCCTGGTGAGCACGAGGCCATGTTCGCATCAAGAAGAAAAGAGAGACTGGGAGAGTACTTGTAAAAGAGCTAGTGCGAGAATGCTTGAAGGAAATGTTTTTCGTCAGTGGAGTTGGAATATGATGGTGTGATGTAATAGGATGGTGTGATGTAATAGGATGGTGTGATGTAATAGGATGGTGTGATGTAATAGGATGGTGTGATGTAATAGGATGGTGTGATGTAATAGGATGGTGTGATGTAATAGGATGGTGTGATGTAATAGGATGGTGTGATGTAATATGATGGTGTGATGTAATAGGATGGTGTGATGTAATAGGATGGTGTGATGTAATAGGATGGTGTGATGTAATAGGATGGTGTGATGTAATAGGATGGTGTGATGTAATAGGATGGTGTGATGTAACTACAAAGTACATGTACACACACAATGACAATCTAGCTATAAATTGGATAACTGATATTAGTATGCGGTAGACATACCACATGTGTAGTTGGAATATTGACATGTGCAATTGTCGGGGGACTCCACCACTGTCTGTGTCATCTTATGTCCCTGAACGTCGGACACAGAAAGAGAGAAATTAATAGCAACGCAGCCACACAGAATTATTCATTTACATTTTTCAGAAGCAGCACATGCCATCATACTTTTAAGTTATTTTAACTCAGTATTTCTACATCTAAAATGTACGTGCCATTTTAAGTTACTGCAGAGAGAAAGATGGCAAGAATGAGAGACAGGGACCGGGACAGGGGCAAAGACAGGGACAGGGGCAAAGACAGGGGCAGGGGCAAAGACAGGGGCAGGGGCAGATACAGGCACAGGAACAGATACAGGGACAGGGATAGGGACAGATACAGGGACAGGGACAGATACAAGGACAGGGACATGGACAGGGACATGGACAGGGGCAGCCTCCCCGGGGACAGGGCAATGGAAAATTGGAAAACGAAAGTATTCCAGTTGCAGTGAGTCTTACCGGTGGACAGCATGTTGAAGGCAAGCTTACATTCACCCTCTTGCACCCTGTTAGGTGGGTAGAAAGAGAACACAAAGTACCGATACGATATTATTCCTCTGAGAAACCATGGGGCGGAAATGTCTGCCTGACAAAGTCATTGCCTTTTCAACAAAGTCGAAGCATTCACTCTACAGATCCCATGCTACATGGGGTCAACATGTGACGCTAGTTAAGTATCTCATTTTCCAGCATACCGGCCTGGCAAAAACACACACACACACACAAGTATCCCACTGTAGTGCTAGAGAGTGATATTATAATCACATGGCCGTCACATGACCGTACAGGGCAACCATGTAGCTTCCAACTCCACAGTCCACACAGCTCTTGCATCTATGGGGATCACGTGATGTCGGCCATGTTGGTTCCACTGTCCACATGTCATGATCACTTTCTGCACAAATTTGGCCACATGACAATCTGATGTGAAACCAGTATATTGGACTTGAACACAAGGCATGCACCAGGACACCAACCAGACAGCTGGTGGGCAACAATGCACAAACTGATTCCTACATCGAACAAACTGTGTGCTGCTTCAAGTCCTTGCGCACTGATGTATACATTACGACATACCGCAAGAAAACTTATCGTGGCACCCATCTGGAGTTCTTCCATTGACCTGAGGCTCCGTGTTCTATACGGCAAAGCACATCCGCCAATACACACACACACACACACACACACACACACACACACACACGCGCACGCACGCACGCACGCACGCACACACACACACACACACACACATACACACACACACACACACACAAAAACACAGTCGCATAGCTTAGTAGACATGCAGGCAAAGGGCGCCGATGCACAGGTAGAGGAGACGGTTTCAAATAGGAGATATGTCGCAAACCGGAACGGACTCAATATTCACTTTCTCTCTTGGTGTTTTAATTAGAAAACATATGTCACAGTGGGACTACGATGTGTTTTACTCCGAGCCAAACTTTCATGGCTCTGCGATGACCAGAAGCGCCATACCAAGCAGGTGAGTTTTTGAAGTGTTGCTTCGCTATGCGACTCGAGTTTTACGTCTTTCGAAAAATCAACTTCTTGTCGCAGGTAAACAGCGGCTTGCCTCTCGCCAATAAAGCACCTTATACCAATGAAAACTAATGGAAGCACACACAAGGCTTGTTACTCTGTACTGGCCGTCGTGGAGCGATAGCAGTTACCTCATTTCAGAGTGAATTTGACGTGCACTCTAAACCTTTCCGGTTTGGAGCCACCTCTGATTTGAAGCAAAAAAATGGGCAACTTGGAGGCAATGGGCCAACACAAAGGAGTGGCTCAGTTCGATTGACACCGGCCTCAGAGCAAACTTCAACATGCCAGTTTCCTCCCACAAACATATTTCGAGTGAACAATCCACGCTGATGATCGGTTTGGGTCTATACAAATTGGCTGTCAAACCGTTCCGGTATCGAACCGTCCCCTCTACTTGACACCCAGACATGATCACAACATCCTATTTTCATGAAATGTCTGCAAACTACATTGCTACAGCATTTCTAAAGCCCTGGATGTACTCCCATTCACTTTAACTCTCAAAGCAACTCTTCTCTCCCTCTCCCTGTGTGTGTGTCCCTGTGTTCACTGGGGACGGTTGTGCTTTTTTGAGCTCCTGCCTACTGAAAGTCCTCGACCTTTGTAAACTTCACGGAGGCCTGAGGCGGCCCTCTTTGGGCCGCCTCTAGGCCAGGGAAAGCGCATGACGGAGGGAAGCATACAGCTGAGAGACGGGACGGCAATTTGGTGCCGTCACTTTTAGTTGTACCCGACGTCGCCGCTCGCGGAGGTTTGACAAGCCCCCGAGCGGATTTCCACAACATCGCGCGATGAAATCTGTCAGAGAGAAGAGAGGGAGATGGAGACGTTGCCTGCTGTGTTTGGGCTCATGGAACGTGAGATCCTTGGTGGAGCGGGACGGCGACATCGACACTGCTTGTGTTTCTGGACGCGTCGTGGAAGACAAAAAAATTCACCGAGTTATTTCTGAACTGAAAAGGCTGAAAGTGGCGGCGGCAGGCCTGCAGGAAACCCACTGGTTTGGACAAAATATCTACGCTGTCAACGGATTTACTGTGATCTGTTCGGGCCGCCCCACTCCTGGCGAAGAGGATAATCGACGTCGAGGTGAGGGAGTTGCTCTTGTTTTGAATCGTGATACAACTTCGGCGTGGAGGGCTGGCGGCTGCGTATGGAACGCGGCGAGTTCTCGGATTGTGAGTGTACGTTTGAAGTACTGTGCAGCTGATGGACCGGATGTTTGGCTCACTCTGGTCAGCGTTTATGCTCCAACGTTTGCTGCGTCGCGGGCATGCAAGGAACTATTTTATGACGATCTACAACGCACTCTGTACGATGTACCCCAGACTGACCATTGTGTAGTGCTTGGCGATTTCAATGCTCGAGTTGGATCTAGTGAGCAGGGTGATGAGTGGTCCACTGTACGTGGTCCGCATGGATTTGGTGCACTGAACTCTTCAGGAGCTGACCTGCTATCATTTGCTGCATTCAATCAGTTGAGTATTTGTAACACCTGGTTCCCCAAGCGAGACCTCTTCAAGCGGACTTGGCAGCACCCAGGCACTTTGAACTGGCACTGTATCGACTACATTCTAGTGCGCCAGGAGGACCGCCGTTGGTGTATGGACACTGCGGTCGCGCGCAGTGCTGAGTGTGGAAGTGACCACCAACTCCTCTGTTTAACTTTTGCACTCCCGTGTGGACGATTAGTTCGGGAGCGCGACCGGGCAAATGTGCGGCGCCGCCGTTATGATGTTGCCCAGCTGCGGGTGCGCACCTCGAACCCGGACTCACCTTCGCCTGCAGAAAGGTACCAAGCTACCATTGCAACCTAGCTTGTAGATACATGGCAAGAACAGCACGACATAGATCAGAAATGGTCCAACGTCAAGGCGGCTATCGACAAGTCTGCTGCGTCTGTCTTGGGCTTCTCCCGGCGTCGCCAACCAGACTGGTTTCAGGAGGCAGAGTCAGCCATCCAGCCATTGCTAGATGAACGGAATCGGTGCTATACCGACTGGCTATGTAGTGGCCAGAGCCGCGACTGCTCGCACTACACAGCGTTTAAGGTGGCTAGATCCAGGGCGCGTGCTTCCATATCCTCGGCTAGGGTAGACTGGATAAAGGCAAAGGCACAGGCGGCCGCAGAGTCGAAATTCAATGGAGCGGTCGTATGGAAGTGCATCCATGACCTCCAGTCTTGTACCCGGGGCCACGCCCCTGTGCGCACTTCCGCCGTGCTGGATGAGAACGGTAACATCTGTAGTTCACCAGAGGAGCAGAGCCACCGGTGGGGAAGACACTTTGACGGTGTTCTCAACGTGGCAAGTGCATGGAATCGCAATGCCCTGGACGACATCCCACAGCGACAGGAGGCTGATCATCTTGCTGAGGCGCCGACTCTCCGTGAAGTCAGCCGCGCTATCTCCCGCCTACAGAACGGCAAGTCCGCTGGAGCCTCTGGCATCCTCCCTGAGATGCTGAAGAGGGGTGGCCCTGACCTCACCGCCAAGCTTGTGGAGCTGTTTGGCGATGTGTGGCGTGCTGGGGTGGTCCCGCAGGAGTGGGTGGACGCCACGTTGGTCCCCATCCCAAAGAAAGGGGATTTATCTCGCTGTGATAATTGGCGGGGTATCTCACTGCTGGATGTTGTGGGCAAGGTTCTGGCGAGCGTCATCCAGACTCGTCTCCAGTCCGTGGCTGCAGATTTTCTCCCAGAGTCTCAGTGTGGCTTCAGGCGTGGCCGATCTTGTACAGATATGGTTTTCAGTGTTCGGCAGTTCCTCGAGAAGACCATTGAGCACGACTGCAAAGGCTTCTTTGTATTTATAGACCTCAAGAAAGCCTATGATTCCGTGCCTCGGGATTGCCTGTGGGAAGTCTTATCCCGAGCGGGTATCCCTGCTCCCATGCTTGCCGTGATCCGTTCCTTTCACACTGACATGTCGGCGGTGGTTCGGGTAGAGAACACGACAACTGACCCTATCCGCGTCACGAATGGTCTCCGTCAGGGGTGCACCATGGCACCTGTGCTGTTTAACATCTTCATGTGGGCGGTGGTGACTGTGTGGCAGCGACGAGTCCGAGATGTACCCGGTGTTGGTTTTGAGTTCCGGCATTGTGATGGTGACAATAACCTTTACCGCAAGCCTACCAGGACGGATCCGGTTGCCATTGCCACTGAGTCACAGTTTGCAGACGACTCAGCACTTTTCGCGACGACTCGTGCAGGGGCGGAGACGGCACTTGCAGTGTTTGACACGACCGCAGCTGAGTTTGGGCTTAAAGTTAGCGCTACCAAGACACAGTTCTTGGTTGCAGGTAGGGATGTTTCGCCTGGGGACTGCGCTCCAATCGAGCTAGCTGGCACGGTCATCGAGTGTGTTTAGTTCCGGTATCTGGGATCTCTCATTCATTGCGGTGGCCGGTCGACACAGGACATCACTGCTCGGATTGCGCATGCCTCTCGTGCTTGTGGCGCCTTGCAAGGAACCATCTTCAGCAATCCTGACCTTGATTTGCATATCAAGAGGTGTGTGTTTAATGCATGTGTGCTGTCGCTCCTCCTCTATGGGTCAGAGTGTTGGACACCATTGCAACACGATCTCAGACGTTTGTCAGTCTTTCATATGCGGTGCATCCGTTCCATCCTGGGTGTGTCCCGCAGAGATTGCTGGAATAATCACACGACCAACGCCCAACTGTTGAAGATGTGGGGTGACTCTGATACCATCTGCGTGAAGGTCGCACAGCGTCGCCTAGAGTGGCTGGGCCATGTTGCTCGAATGGACAGTAGCCGGATGCCGAGACAGATCCTGTTTGGCTCACTTCTCACACGTCGCCCAGCACATGGCCCTCGCAAGCGCTGGAAGGATTGCGTTGTCTCCGACTTAAGAGTTCGTGGCCTCACCAAGGAATGGTACCCTATCGCCTGTGAGTCCCGTGCTGACTGGCGGACTATGTACGCCGAGCCTGTGGAGAATGTGCCTCAGCCTGACCCAGTGGTATGTGCGGATTGCAACCGGTCATTCTCGCGCCCTGGAGATCGTGCTCGCCACAGATGTGTGGTTGAGCGGGCAAAGCCGATTGCTGAGCAGCGAGGGGCTTGCCACTGTGGAGATTGTGGGCGTTGGTTTCGCAGCAAGGGTGGTCTAGCTGTTCACCGCTGTTCCGCACCTCAGCCTCAGCCTCCCGAGCCCCGGCAAGTCTATGTGCAGGATGCCTGCTGTGCTGCGCACTGTGCTGTGTGTGCCCGCTGCTTTCGGTCTGTGCAAGGCCGCGGTCGTCACCGGTGCTCGAGGACTGGCCCGCGCCCGACTGCCCAGCAGCGTAATTCGTTCAGCCATGTATGCGTGTGTTCTCGCCGGTTCCGTTTGCCCCACCATCTCCGGCGTCATCAGGCTGCGTGCTCCATCTTCCTCTCTGATGCCCCTCCGGGGCCCACGTGACCCCTGTGGCAGTGGCTCTACAGGACAGGACAGGTGTGTGTGTGTGTGTGTATGTGTGTGTGTGTGTGTGTGTGTGTGTGTCTCTCTCTCTCTCTCTCTCTCTCTCTCTCTCTCTCTCTCTCTCTCTCTCTCTCTCTCTCTCTCTCTCTCTCTCTCTCTCTCTCTCTCTGTCTGTCTGTCTCTGTCTCTGTCTCTGTCTCTCTGTCTCTGTCTCTGTCTCTGTCTCTGTCTCTGTCTCTCTCTGTCTATCTGTCTATCTGTCTGTCTGTCTGTCTGTCTCGCTGTGTCTCTCTCTCCCTCCCTCCCTCCCTCCCTCTCCTCTCCTCTTTCTTTCTTTCTCCCTCGCCGCGAATATACACTTTGATACACATATGTGTGCATGCGGCAATGTCAAGAAAATGTGCACACATACTCTCTCACATACTCTCTCACATGCACACTGACATATGCATTCACAACAAACTGCACTTCAACATAGGATAAATCATACCAGGACTTCATCAGGGCGGATCCAGGAGGGGTTCCGCGGCACCCCCTAAATTTCGTAAATGTACTACTGGCAACCATATGCGTGTCTATGTACATGTATCAGCTATTCAGTTTAGACTATACTGGAACCCCCTGTAAAGATCGCTGGATCCGCCGCTGAGTCCATCATTATCCAGATACATTGAGCAACACAGCACAACATGTAGATATATGTACACTTACATTACAAGGACACTGTGGTGGTTGAGTTGGTGCTGGAACTCGAACTGTAGATACACATTTGACAGAAACCGGACAGGGGTAACAGAAATGATCCAGCTATATAAACGGTATTTGCTTGGGCGTCCAGCTTTGAACTCTGGAATTTAGTAGTTTGCCCATCAAAGATCGCCATCACTATTTGCACAATCGACGAGGAGACAATAGTCGTAAAATGGCAATAAATAAGATAAATTGTGCACTCATAACAACAGCAAAAAATGAAGAAAGTCAAGTTCCATAACGTTTTCTTGTGACTGTCATCAGTGGAACGCCGTCACATAAAAATGTAATAACTAAAACACACACTTATATACATGTAGCTAATATGGTTTCAGGTAGAAATACAGCAGCTAACAGGTACAAAAAGCGAAGTTTGCACCTTTGCAATGTGTGAATATAGTGTATGTGAGAAAGGTAGTGGCAGATGAATGTGATACTGTGTGAATGAATGTAATGGTGCGTGTGTATTACTTGAAGAGTGTGAGTGATACAACGTAGCTACATGTATATAAGTGTGTGTTTTAGTTATTGCATTTTTATGTGACGGCGTTCCACTGATGACAGTCACAAGAAAACGTTATGGAACTTGACTTTCTTCATTTTTTGCTGTTGTTATGAGTGCACAATTTATCTTATTTATTGCCATTTTATCACTATTTGCATGTATCATTCTTGTCTATGCTGAATGTAGCATTGCAAGTCCAAGGGTAGCTTCATCAACTACGCAAGCATGCCGCTGCCACTCACTACCACAATGGACCATAATAGTGGAAAACGGAACTTTAGAACTCATTCAAATTGATATAATCCAATCAATTCACCAAGCCGTATACAGACTGCATGCACAATACAGACTGCATGCACACGCAGCAGACAGAGACAGAGGCTGGGGTTGTTCAACCTGTACAGTACATACCGCATTTATACGATGGGCAGTTGTTGGCATCAGTTTTTTTGACCGGATATTCACACTGCGCAAGAAACAGCAGACCAGGATGGATGTTAACACACGAAGGACACATCAATGCCATACCACTAGGGCTACTAGGGTCGTACACATCAATGCCATATCACTAGGGTCGTACACATCAATGCCATATCACTAGGGTCGTACACATCAATGCCATATCACTAGGGTCGTACACATCAATGCCATATCACTAGGGTCGTACACATCAATGCCATATCACTAGGGTCGTACACATCAATGCCATATCACTAGGGTCGTACACATCAATGCCATATCACTAGGGTCGTACACATCAATGCCATATCACTAGGGTCGTACACATCAATGCCATATCACTAGGGTCGTACACATCAATGCCATATCACTAGGGTCGTACACATCAATGCCATATCACTAGGGTCGTACACATCAATGCCATATCACTAGGGTCGTACACATCAATGCCATATCACTAGGGTCGTACACATCAATGCCATATCACTAGGGCCGTACACATCAATGCCATATCACTAGGGCCGTACACATCAATGCCATATCACTAGGGCCGTACACATCAATGCCATATCACTAGGGCCGTACACATCAATGCCATATCACTAGGGCCGTACACATCAATGCCATATCACTAGGGCCGTACACATCAATGCCATATCACTAGGGCCGTACACATCAATGCCATATCACTAGGGTCGTACACATCAATGCCATATCACTAGGGTCGTACACATCAATGCCATATCACTAGGGCCGTACACATCAATGCCATATCACTAGGGCCGTACACATCAATGCCATATCACTAGGGCCGTACACATCAATGCCATATCACTAGGGTCGTACACATCAATGCCATATCACTAGGGTCGTACACATCAATGCCATATCACTAGGGTCGTACACATCAATGCCATATCACTAGGGTCGTACACATCAATGCCATATCACTAGGGTCGTACACATCAATGCCATATCACTAGGGTCGTACACATCAATGCCATATCACTAGGGTCGTACACATCAATGCCATATCACTAGGGTCGTACACATCAATGCCATATCACTGGGGCTATATCGTAGCACAGTGAGCTGTACGGGTATAGTCCCGACTAGAATAACACTTGCAATGTACACTGTGTATGAGTGTGGCAATGTACACTGTGTGTGTGTGTGTGTGGCAATGTACACTGTGTATGAGTGTGGTATTTATAGAACAAAGTAAGAGATCACAGCATGTATTGTACATGATTGGTAGCAGAGCTGTTAAGTAGTGTGCTGGTAGCAGAGCTGTTAAGTAGTGTGCTGGTAGCAGAGCTGTTAAGTAGTGTGCTGGTAGCAGAGCTGTTAAGTAGTGTGCTGGTAGCAGAGCTGTTAAGTAGTGTGCTGGTAGCAGAGCTGTTAAGTAGTGTGCTGGTAGCAGAGCTGTTAAGTAGTGTGCTGGTAGCAGAGCTGTTAAGTAGTGTGCTGGTAGCAGAGCTGTTAAGTAGTGTGCTGGTAGCAGAGCTGTTAAGTAGTGTGCTGGTAGCAGAGCTGTTAAGTGGTGTGCTGGTAGCAGAGCTGTTAAGTAGTGTGCTGGTAGCAGAGCTGTTAAGTAGTGTGCTGGTAGCAGAGCTGTTAAGTAGTGTGCTGGTAGCAGAGCTGTTAAAGGGGCACTCCGGGAATATTTTCGGTGGTGTGTTCTCTTCATGGGGGCCTTATATGGCCCCCAAGGAATGGGGAATCGCGAAAACTAGGCCCAAAAAGTCGATATATGAAGCTAGGGAGGGCCAAGTTTGTCTCCTCTTTTGATGGTTTTGATGACGTCACGTGTGATTAGTATTCAAATTCTCTGCATTTGAAGATCTTAGTTGTTTGAATTTTCTGGTGATGAAGAACGATGTTTGGTCAACATTCCCAAGCTTCACAACTGCGACCATACTCTAAGGAACCTGAAGGACCTCCTGAGGTGCCACTGGTAGAAGCGCAGCCTGATGACGGCCAGGAAATTGGAGCGGACGACTTCACTGGTCGACAAGGAAATAACGATTGGTGTTCCTGCCAGAAATGTGGGGTGATGCAGAGGGCAGTCGATTACCTTCGCTGTCGAGAGAGCGCTGCAGCTGTTAGCATTGACAGCCCTTTGACGTGCGTTACACATCACCCCGACTTCGTGTCAGCTTGTCTAAAAAAACTGTTCTGACCATATGCCTCACGACATATAGAGAATTTCGGGATCCTCGTACGCGGACCAGTGAAGTCGTCCGCTCCAATCTCCTGGCCCTCATCAGGCTGCGCTTCTACCAGGGGCACCTCAGAGGGTCCTTCAGGTTCCTTAGAGTAGGTCCGCAGTTGTGAAGCTTGGGAATGTCGACCAAACATCGTTCTTCATCACCAGAAAATTCAAACAACTAAGATCTTCAAATGCAGAGAATTTGAATACTAATCACACGTGACGTCATCAAAACCATCAAAAGAGGAGACAAACTTGGCCCTCCCTGGCTTCATATATCGACTTTTTGGGTCTAGTTTTCGCGATTCCCCATTCCTTGGGGGCCATACAAGGCACCCATGAAGAGAACACACCACCGAAAATATTCCCGGAGTGCCCCTTTAAGTAGTGTGCTGGTAGCAGAGCTGTTAAGTAGTGTGCTTGTAGCAGAGCTGTTAAGTAGTGTGCTTGTAGCAGAGCTGTTAAGTAGTGTGCTGGTAGCAGAGCTGTTAAGTAGTGTGCTGGTAGCAGAGCTGTTAAGTAGTGTGCTGGTAGCAGAGCTGTTAAGTAGTGTGCTGGTAGCAGAGCTGTTAAGTAGTGTGCTGGTAGCAGAGCTGTTAAGTAGTGTGCTTGTAGCAGAGCTGTTAAGTAGTGTGCTTGTAGCAGAGCTGTTAAGTAGTGTGCTGGTAGCAGAGCTGTTAAGTAGTGTGCTGGTAGCAGAGCTGTTAAGTAGTGTGCTGGTAGCAGAGCTGTTAAGTAGTGTGCTGGTAGCAGAGCTGTTAAGTAGTGTGCTGGTAGCAGAGCTGTTAAGTAGTGTGCTGGTAGCAGAGCTGTTAAGTAGTGTGCTGGTAGCAGAGCTGTTAAGTAGTGTGCTGGTAGCAGAGCTGTTAAGTAGTGTGCTGGTAGCAGAGCTGTTAAGTAGTGTGCTGGTAGCAGAGCTGTTAAGTAGTGTGCTGGTAGCAGAGCTGTTAAGTAGTGTGCTGGTAGCAGAGCTGTTAAGTAGTGTGCTGGTAGCAGAGCTGTTAAGTAGTGTGCTGGTAGCAGAGCTGTTAAGTAGTGTGCTGGTAGCAGAGCTGTTAAGTAGTGTGCTGGTAGCAGAGCTGTTAAGTAGTGTGCTGGTAGCAGAGTTAAGTAGTGTGCTGGTAGCAGAGTTAAGTAGTGTGCTGGTAGCAGAGCTGTTAAGTAGTGTGCTTGTGTTCAACAACATGTGATACTGTAGAGGCAGAACATTTCGTCGGTCAATAATTTCGTCCAACTCCAAAGAAAAGGAGTTCGTCCGGTTGAAAATTTCGTCCATGGATCATAAGAGTGTATAGAATAGCTGGACAAATTGATATTCGTCCTACATTTAATTTAGTCCAAAATCTCCTTGGACGAAAAAGACGAAATTAAATTCCAGACGAATATTTCTGCTTATACAGTATCTGGATGACTCAGTGCATGTTAATGTGACCATTTTTTTCTTGCAAGCAAGATACTGCTATACATAGAGCCGGCTAAATAGAGCTGTATTGCTGCAAGTCCAAATTTGATACTGAAGTCATCATCAGACAGCACAGCCGTAATGTTATAATTGCAATCGAGTCTTACTGTGAGACAAGTTGGGAGCTGTGGCGTACAGCAGGGGACACCTGGCGCAACTGCAGGTCATGCGTTAACAGAAACGCACACGGAGGAAGATAAATGTAGGTTCTGCACAAGTGGAATGTGCTTCCGAACACATACACGCATGCACACCCCCCCCCCCCCCACCCACCCCACCAAACACATTGTATTTCAGTTATGCGTCTGTGTGCATGTGCCTAACTGTCCACCTTCTCCTCTTTTCCTTTTCACATCCTCTCTCTCCTTCCAAGTGTGTGCATGTGTGTGAGCGGGAATGTACCTGCCAGCAGTGCCTGTCTGTCAGTTTCTGTGTCTCTTTGTATGCTCTTAGCTATTGCTAACGTTACTCTCTGCATAACTGTGTGCCGGTCTGTTTCCATGTAACTTACTCTAGCCTCTATGCTTCTTTTACACAAGCCAATCTGTTTTGCTTTTCATTCCTGCATGTGCTACCTGGCATTCTTCCACCCCTCTCCCTTTCCTCTTTTTTCATGCCATATCGGCGCATCTAGCTCACTGTGAAGCTGAGAACTCACGTCGGCCGAGTACACTAGGTCTCATCACCCCGGTTTTCCTCCTCAATTCTAACCAATAGGAGCTCATGGGCACTGGTATGTAAAAAATTAAGAAAAAGTTCTGCTAAACGAGGAAGATCACAAACGATTTGAAACTGCACCAATTGAACTCAGCATAGTGCGTACGGTATAAAACTGTATTTCAGAAAATGCAGCGCATATTGGACTTGTACTGCTTGGTTGTTGATTGCCCTGGGAAAGAAAAGCCTTCTGGGAAATGACTGGCTTCTGGGTGAATGGCGGAGGCCAGGGAGATTCATTCGAGCAAGTTCCAGGAGTGGTTAAGCACGAGTTAAGCAATGTTGTTAACATGTGCAATGTACATACCTGCACAAGACTCGTTGGTACAATGCCACCTCTCCTGACAGCACTCAGTGGTATTCACCATCGTTGTATTATATGTACACTGTATTCAGGGAAAGCAAACGGGACACCCTTCAGGCCAGATTCGGCAATGTATTCAACAGAATAGCTTTGATGGGTGTGTAGAGGAAGACAACTGTACCATGATGATGTCATTGTCCCAGCCATGCATTGCACACTGTACAATGATGATGTCATTGTCCCAGCCATGCATTGCCCACTGTACCATGATGATGTCATTGTCCCAGCCATGCATTGCACACTGTACCATGATGATGTCATTGTCCCTACAATGCATTGCACCAAGAGTACATGAAAACCAGAGTGTGCAGCTTGGGGCTTTTTCTACTATTGATGTCTGTGATAGCGGAATTCCATGATTACATCATATTTGGCACAGATCTGGGGGCGGGAAGTGGCGTAGTGCGTACAACTGAGTTGCAGTTGTGCAGAAAGAGACCTGCTTCAATCCTGCTTGTATGCACTACATCACTAAAATGATGTGATCACGGAATTCCGCCGTGACAGCAATCCATCCCAGCTGCACACTCTGGTTTTCATATACTCTGGATTGCGCTGTACTCGCACAGTCTGGATTGCGCTGTACTCGCACAGTCTGGATTGCGCTGTACTCGCACAGTCTGGATTGCGCTGTACTCGCACAGTCTGGATTGCGCTGTACTCGCACAGTCTCCCAGCATGTACATTGTACATTGTGTCTGTGTCTATTCTTCATCACTATTAGGGAGAAGTGGACGGTCTGGCTGCTTGGGATTCGGCCGCAATATCTTCAGACAACAAAACATGTTTAATTGTATATACAGCAAGAATGACCTAATGGTGAGTGTAAAGTGGCGTCCGTCACTGAAATGCAGACGCAGAACAGGGCATGCATAGCAGAACAGGGCATCAGAACAGGGCATCAGAACTCAGAATCTGAATGGGACAGCAGTATTTGCAGCGCTCGTTGCCTGGCCAGTGTCAATTACGTGTTCCAATACTTCAGTGACACTGTACGTCATACAAACAAGGGGAACATACCCCCCCCCCCCCACCCCCACCCCGCACACACACACAATGCTTCCATCTCCAGAGACGAACAGGAAAGTCACCTGGCTTGAAATACAGTATGCATGAACAGGCAGAATGGACTCACATTCGGCGTTCCTAGCATGTCTTGACTTGCTGGGCACACTTGAGAGACGTTGCAGCCTGCCTGCGCACCGTATTCCTGTGCTCTGTTACAGATAGACGCGTTATAGCCCTGCTCCTTCAGGTAGATATGGCATTGCTCTGGAAGACAAGGCCAGTGGTGAAGACAATAGCAGCAGTGAAGACTGACAACGTCAGTGGTGAAGACATTCAGAGATCAGCGAAGGACAGAGGTGCATCAGTGCTGTTCAGGCATGCTCAGAGCACCTGCCAAAAATATCTCAACTTCTCACTCAGGCAACATGTTGTACAGGCTCTTGTTCGCTCACCCCCCCCCCCCCCCCACGCACGCATGCATGCACCCACGCAAGCACGCATGCACGTGTAGAGCATGCAGATTCTTCAACCTTGTACCTGTTGCATTGTAGTCTAGTGCCTGTGTCACTGTAGCTTGGTGTGTTAAAACCTGTACAGTAATAAGACTAGTATCCTTTGCATGTGAAGTTTGAACCTACCTTTTTCAGAAGCTTTCCTTTTTTTCTTTACTTTCTTCCAATACATGTCTTCTGATTGGCCGAATCTGTGCCATCTCTCTCTATCTCCTGATTGGTCTAAACCGTTGCTCGTTGTTATGTGAAACCTGAACTCTCTTAGCCTTGGCACATATAAAAAGCTCTGTCTCTGAAGAAAGATCATCCTTCATTTCTTCAAACTTCTCCTTGCTCTGGTGAGACTTGTTGGTTGTTGTGTGCCCAACCACTTGGGCCACGCTACAACTGGTGGCAGCGGTGGATGTTTCGGGGTTTTTTTTTCATGCTATGTTTTTGTTGTTGTGACAATGTGAAGTGATTCCTGGTTCGGAATGGCCCAAGCACAGCCTAACCAGCCGACCCGTCCGGCCCAGCCTGCTCAGCCAGCCCAGCCAGCCCAGCCAGCCCAGCCAGTTCAGCCAGCTCAGCCAGCCCAGCCAGTTCAGCCAGCCCAGCCAGCACAGCCAGTTCAGCCCGCCCAGCCAGTGCAGCCAGCCCAGCCAGTTCAGCCCGCCCAGCCAGTTCAGCCCGCCCAGCCAGTTCAGCCCGCCCAGCCAGCTCCCGTTCGGCCCATCCGGCCATGGGCAACTCCGGAACGTTTTGATGGTGGAGCAGCCTCGGACTGGACTACTTGGCGTGACCAATTCACTCAAGTTTGCCTGGTTAGTCAGTGGAAACGGCTGGTTCTGCAAGATGGCTTATTGTATCGTACGTACACTTCAGTAGATGGTAGCAACTCATTTCTGCAACTTGTTGTACCTGTCAGTTTGCGACAGAGAATTATGACTGGGATGCACAATGAGTGTAGTGGTGGCCACCTCGCTACTGAACGTACTCTAGAGAAGGTGAAAGCTAGATTCTATTGGCCTTTTATGTCGTCTGACATTGAGCTGCATTGCAAGGCGTGTGCGCTTTGTTCAGCTAGGCGTACCCCAGCACCAACCGCTCGCGCTCCGATGAAGGTGGACCAACCATCATTTCCGCTGCAACGTGTCGCTATGGACATCATGGGACCACTGCCCAGAACAAATCGAGGTAACCTCTACATTGTTGTGATTACTGATTATTTCACGAAGTGGGTAGAAGCGTTTGCCATCCCGGATATGACTGCAAGGACAATAGCTTCGGCACTGATTGATGGTTTCATTTGTCGCTACGGTGTGCCACTGTCTATCCACACTGATCAAGGTGCGCAATTTGAGTCAAATTTGTTTAAATCCATCTGTGAACTGTTAGATATGAAGAAGACACGCACGACTCCATATCATCCTTCTAGTGATGGTTTAGTTGAACGGATGAATCGTACACTTGAGAACATGCTGAGTGCCAGAGTCAATGCCAATCACAATGACTGGGATCTGCATATTCAACGCTGTTTACTGGCGTATCGTAGTAGCGTACATAGTTCAACCAAGGAAACCCCAGCTAGATTGATGTTCGGCAGAGAGCTTAAGTTGCCAGTGGATATTATGTTTAACGACTCCAGAGAACATGTCAAATCTGTACCTGACTATATGATTGGTCTCGAGATCTCCTTGCAGCAGGCATTCTCTCACGCTCGATCAGCTGGCGCTAAGGCACAGAAACGTCAGAAGGACTACTATGATGTAAAGACGACCAAGCCACGGTTTGCGATCAATGACAAGGTGCGCTTACACAACCCAGCTGTGAAAGCAGGCAACACAAAGAAGTTCCTCAAGCCATGGACCGGGCCGTATCGAGTTGTCGAGGTGATCGATGACGTGGTGTACAGGATTGAGCACTGTGATACAGGGAAACTCCAGGTGGTACACATCAACCGGCTCAAGTCAACGACTCAAGTACCGGAGGAGCAGCACGCTCCAGTGCCAGCACACCTACCTCAACCGGCGCTAATTGATTACGTGCAAGACGCAGTTCCGGCTGTTCCGGTTCCGGCAGTTCCGGTTATTCCAGTTCCGGCAGTTCCAGCTGTTCCAGTTCCGGCTGTTCCAGTCCCGGCTGTTCCGGCAGCTCCCGTTGTGCCGGCCGTTCCGATCATGCCACAGGCAGGTGGGTATAACTTACGCAATCGGGCAAATCTCCAGAGGCCGGTGCGATACCGTCAATGAGAGCCAAGAACAATTGATATGTACAATTTTCTTGTGAAGATTTGAGAGATTGAGATTTGAGTTTTTTTAGATATAGCATTTAACACACAGTTTATATAGCTTCTTCCTTGGGTTCTTTCGTTTCATTATTTTTATTTTTACAATATTCACCTTATCACGAGGACGTGATTCAATCTGGGAGGGGGCCATGTAGAGCATGCAGATTCTTCAAGCTTGTACCTGTTGCATTGTAGTCTAGTGCCTGTGTCACTGTAGCTTGGTGTGTTAAAACCTGTACAGTAATAAGACTAGTATCCTTTGCATGTGAAGTTCGAACCTACCTTTTTCAGAAGCTTTCCTTTTTTTCTTTACTTTCTTCCAATACATGACTGTCTTCTGATTGGCCGAATCTGTGCCATCTCTCTATCTCCTGATTGGTCTAAACCGTTGCTCGTTGTTATGTGAAACCTGAACTCTCTTAGTCTTGGCACATATAAAAAGCTCTGTCTCTGAAGAAAGATCATCCTTCATTTCTTCAAACTTCTCCTTGCTCTGGTGAGACTTGTTGGTTGTTGTGTGCCCAACCACTTGGGCCACGCTACACACGCACGCACACACCATAGCACCATTCATAGTCCTCCTTTGTACTCACTGAATTCATATCTTTGTACTCACTGAATTCATATCTTTGTACTCACTGAATTCATATCTTTGTACTCACTGAATTCATATCTTGGTGTGTCGGGATGGTAGATTAGAATCTGGTAACACAGACGACACAACGTAACTAAGTTTTACACAATAAGAAACTAAGTTTTACACAACGTAACTAAGTTTTACACAACGTAACTAAGTTTTACACAATAAGAAACACGTTTCTGCACGACGACTTTCATCAAATATTATCATGACTAACATCATGGAAAGAAGAGTCGGAAGGTAATTGCATACACCGGAATGCTTGGTCAGCCACCATTCCATGAAGCCCCCCCCCCCCCCTCCCTCTCCAACATCCAATATATCTCATCACTGCACACATCTGCGGCAGGACAGAGGAATACTGGTTGGAATGAAGCTTACGTGGTTACATATTGGCTTTGCTGAAAGAAGAAATAAAAGAAGAGCAGAGATAGAGATATTTGGTCAATTGAGATATTGGTCAATTGAGATATTGGTCAATTGAGATATTGGTCAATTAACAATCAACATTATGCTGTGAACAAGTTGGTTGGTCGCAAGACTCGCAAGACTCGAGATTGTGCCATTGCTTCTATTTTTTTTAAATAAAATAAAAAGGACCAAGGAACTACAAGTACAAGTACAAGTGGCTCTCCATCCGAGTTCATTCTTGCTTCTATTTCGTACATCAATATCACTGGATAAAATACCAGGCGGGTCACTCAAATCCATTCTGCTGCTGGTGCCTGGTGATAACAGTTAGGCATGGGAAGTGTGCAATCTTGCTGTTGTCCGTTTTTTCACACATTTACCTTACAGGGCATTGGGGCATGGGCTTTGGTGTCACGTGAAATTGCAAAACAGTTGGATGCACACAGCAGCACAGCTAGCAAGAGAAAGAAGCCGTGGATGGGTTTGTTCCTATTTTTGATGGCTGTGGCCATCCGTTCGTGTGAGTACGGCGTTTGTTTGTGCTGCCAGCTCGGGCCCGGTGCACGAGTGAAACCGAACTTTGAAAAGGCTTTCGCTCTTTAGTGCTATTGACTGGCTTTTCATACAATGCCTATTGATGTCTAGAGACATGCTGTCTAGCCTTCCTCTGGTACGCATTACACAGGGCTTTGTTGAAGTTTGTACCGTGAACTACCAAAGGGAAATGTTTGAATGGTGCTGGGGCGGATGCGACATTACGGTGTCCCTGCAGCCGGCCTAATTGCGTTTGTCGCCACAACCGATTTTATTCGGTCTGCACCCACGTGACTTCGCAGAGCATAATGACACGCTCTCTGCTGCTACTTCTTACTCGTGATGTGCACACTTGACTTGCACCTTCTCCCTTCTCCCCCCCCCCCCCCATCTGCATAGAGGGGACAACGTGCGTCTTTTTTTGCGCTACACTCTGTAGATATAATTATACTGCTCCGTTGTGGCTTCCACTGTATTCATTGCTCCTATTACTGTAAACCGGGAATCTTCGGTGGCGTAATATTTTCAGAATTTCCCAAAAACAACGGCTCGGTAGCGCGAAAATTTTGGTGAACCAGTTTTCCAGATCCAAAAATGCATTTTGCACACTGTGTGGCATGGAATTACTGAATTTTAGGTCGCGTTTTATTTTAGGTGAAAATGACCTGTACCGAAGTTACCGAAAACAAATCACCACCGAAAATTTCCGGTTTTACAGTACATAATCATGGCCAAGTACCAAAACAAAACATATTGTGGAATAACATTGTGGAATAACGGAGCTGGTTCGGATGTGCAGCGCTATGGGAATGGGTGTGTCCACCCGAATTCCTTGTATCATTTTTATTGCCAGAAAACAGTAAAATGTTAACTGGTTTGAGGGAAAGAGACAAACGGGAAAAGTCTGAAGAAAAAACTGACTGTCATCACCAGGACTCGAACCAAGGACCTTCGCTTGTAGCCAGCAATAAAACAATAAAAAAAAACAATAAAAAGAACGAAGTCTGAAGAAGATGTTGAACGGTCTCTGCTGGGATGACGACTACACCATAGCTCAGTGGTTAGAGCATCGCTAGCTACAAGCGAGGGTCCCTGGTTCGAGTCCTGGTGGTGACAGTCGATTTTTTCTTCAGCCTTTTCCCGTTTGTGTCTTTCCCTCAAACTAGCTAATAAAAAGAACGTACAAATGTCTACTTACGTTTACACACACAGCAACCATTGTTGCATACTTGCAGACTCAACACCTAGAATGGTACAGGCACATGAAATGGAAAAGAAAATGAAGAACAGTCAGTCAGGAAGTAGCGACAGACTCGGCAGCCATACTAACCAAGTCCCTAGAAGAAAGAAGTTTGGTATTTATACGGCAAAGCACATGTCACCAGCAAGGCATATCCCATTTCAGTTTGCTATCAGTATTCTACGCTTCAAGCCAAAGGTATGTTGGACTTCCCAAGCGCTCTGAAACAGTGAAAAGCCGGTGGTCAGTAAGGTCAAGTGTTTTGCGACAGGAAGAGCGCAAGTAATCTCCTTGTCAGAAAGCACCGTGTAGCCTGTTTGATTGAAGGAAAATAAATGCACAAAAGCAACAACACAACAACACAACTTCCCAAGCATATGGGGACTAATTCTGCTATCCATGAAAGTGGATAAATTGTTGCAGATCAGTGGACCTACTCCAGGATACCTCTATTATCAACTAATATCAACCACCCCAAGTCCAAAAACATGTCAGAGAACGTTCAAACGTATTGCACACATGAAAGCATATCCCTAATCTTTGCTGGAAAGGGAACCCTCTCCAAGTCACTGCTTCATTCCCCGGCCGATCATCGTCTTTTGCGACAGGACATGCATGCACCATCAGTCACCACCACCATACCAAGGTCGTTGATGCTGCAAATTCTATTGAAAAGAAATGAAATCTCCAAATTTCATTTCTTTTCAATAGAATTTGCAGCATCAACGACCTTGGTGTGGTGGTGGTGATTGATCGTGATATGAATTGGCTGCTGCAGTGGAGCTTCCGTGTTCTAAAAAAACATGCATGCAGCACACCGTATTTTCCCCCGAATGTAAGTAGCACATTTTTACACTAAACTTCACGAGCAAAGAAGAGGGGTGCGACGTACAATCGAGTGCGACTTCCTACTTCTGTGAATGTATTGAAACAATTTGGTTCAGACCAGAAAATGGTTTGCGACTTACAATCATGTGTGACTTACAATCATGTGTGACTTACAATCATGTGTGACTTACAATCATGTGTGACTTATAATCAGGAAAATACGCGTACAGTCAGACCTCGCTTATCCGGTCCTCTTTTATCCGGATCCCTCACCATCCCGAATAAAATCGTTGGTTACCGATTTACATCAGATGTCATGCATACATACAGTATGTGTGTTCGATTATCTGGTTCCCTCGCCTGTCCGGATATTTTTGTGGAAAACGAATGTGTGCCGTTAAGCAAGGTCTGACTGTAACAGTTTGCTGTTAACCTTACCGAGCAGTTTTTCTCGCATTCAGGGTTGACCTCATACTTGTATTGCACTGTTCCGTTGCATTCAAATATGTAGGTGAAGTTCTGACAGCACGTCCCATTAGCACAGTTGTCCGGCACTAGAGTCCAGTTCTTGCTTTGACACTGTACACGCCACGAACAAGCATTTAAATAGCGAGACAGTTTCACGTATTCAAATAGCAAAGACAATTCTCAAGATGTTCTTACGGGAATACTCTCATCGGGTTCCAGGAGGCAGTGCCGTGTAACTACAGTGCTGGTAACTGAAATCCGACCCCCTTGCCGGCGCGCCGCGCCGGCAAGGGGGTCGGCAAGGGGGTCGGATTTCAGTTACCAGCACTGTACCAGTAGGTTTGCACCGACAGGTCCAAACATGAATGCTAGTGTTGATGTCAGTGATTGTCAGTGATGAATGCTAGTGTTGATGTCAGTGATGGAAGTCTTACGTCACTGGGATTCCCATGACGATCCCCCGCTGGGTGGGTGTGTGGGTGTGTGGGTGTGTGGGTGGGTGTGGGTGTGGGTGGGTGTGGGTGGAGGGAGAGTCGGTGTGTGTGGGTGTGTTGGGGGGGGGGGGGGGGTCGGGGGAGGTGGGGGTCAGTGTTGCAAAAAAACCGATGCACGGGCTGGATTCTATCCCAGGACCTCGGTCTTACCGGGACAGTGCCCTGCCGATTATGCTACCAGGAATCACATACATGCACACACATACACACACACACACAGACGCACAGACGCACACATGAACACACACACACACGCACACACACATGCACACACACACGCACGCACGCACGCCCTCACGCACACACACACGCACACACACACACACACACACACACGCACACATGCACGCACGCACGCACACACGCACACACATTGCTTGCTGCATCGGACATTGACCAGGGCACCTTAGAGGCAGAGACTACTCTGGATACTCACCTCACAAGATGACACATTCGTCACTGGTGGGCAAAGACAAGGGAAAAAACAAGACATCAGAGATTTCATAACTTGCAAGTTCCCAAGGTCGTTCATGACTTACAAGATCAGTTAGGCTATGATAGGCTAGTCAGCCGATCTGAGAGATCACAGCATTTCAACATGGCACGATTGCATGCTGTCCACCGCTCTACCGGCGGCTGTGGAGGCCATGCATCTTGAGCCACCATTACTCTCTGCAGTTGTATTCTATTGCCATCGCTTCAGTCAGTGATTCTGAGCTCCACTGATGAGACCTAACACAAGTTTGAAAGAGCTAGCCAGCTATCCGGAGATTCAGCATACGTATTCAGCGAGTGCGTTCGATTATGCACGCGAATCGATTCATAAAACGATTCGCGCTATTCACATCACCCCATGTGAATAGAGTGAATGGATTCCGAATCGATTCCAGGGGTCATGACATGAAATCGAACGACTTGAATGCACTTGAATCGATTCAAGTGTGTAATCGAGCGCACTCAGTGTGCGGGCTTCCTCAGTAGCACCATAATAGTAATGCACAGTGCTGCTGCGCATGTCTCTCTATGTGTAGCCATGAAGGGTCAAACAGGGAACCTCTATGTATGTAGTATGTAGCTGCGGCATTCCAGCTATCAGTGAGTTCTTTCAGCTCGGGAATATTGATCTAAAAATCAAGTAAATTACAGCATCCCATTCAAGACTTAAGGGGAGGGGAAGTTGCAAGATGCAGGGCCTCTCACGGTCCCATCTGCCATACCGTAAAGTCGCGGATAAAAGCCGGATTTGCATACAAGCACATCGCGGATAGAAGCCTGAAAATCAAACGGGTCAAATGCATGTAAGCCTGTCGCGCGTAGAAGCCTGGCTTCTATGCAAGCGCAGATCGGGTAGGTCAAGAGTGCATGCGCTATGTACGGTGCATAGTAAAACTGCCGCCATACCGGTAGTCAGTGGTAGATCTACGCGTGTCGCGCGTAGCAGCCTGGCTTCTATGTGCATACAAGCCTGGCAAAAATATCAGTGGTGCATATATGCCTGGTTTGCATTAAAGCCTGATGCAGAAAGCGGCATATATGCTTATAAGCCTTAAGGCTTTTATCCGCCACTTTACGGTAATTCAGTGGAGGCAGAGTGTGGAGTAGATTCCACAAACTGCTATGAACGCAGCGCCAAACTTGCAGCTCCACACAATAGCCACGTGCAGACATATCGACAGAGAGAACCTACCAGTTTTGAGACAGCCACAGCATCTATGTTGCTGCGTATCAGAACAGGCATCGTAAGTATGAATGGTCACATTGTATTCTGTATTGCACTGCAGAGTGGTCGACAACACAACACAACACAACACAGAGAGTACACTCTCTGTTGAAACAAGCCGTTGCAAATGCAGGGTGCCGAATTACTCACAACTGGCTTGTGCAGGAGCAAAGATGAGGGTGTCGCAACAAACACAGAAACAGGGTGAACACATGGACAAGTGTCTTACTGTTGTTGGAGGTGTAACAGGCGGTGGTTTTTTTAGCCCGCAGTCTAATGCTGTGAAAAGGAAAAGAGCCAATAGAAAAGTGCAGGTATGATAATATTATGTAGGCATTGTATTCATTATTCTCACGGGCAAAGTGCAACAATGAATGTATTGCGCATGCCAGAATTACTTCGTCCACCTGCGTACGCCAAGTTACTGCCCTGCAAGTGCGCATAGTTCATGGCGCAATGGAAACACTGGTTATATTATCCAAACATTGCGCCTCGGTTCAACTACTTGGTCCGACTTATTAAAATGTGCGTTTCGCTTCGAACATCAACCAAACAAATTCAAATAATCTCAGGACGGAATAAACTTTCCAACTATCAAACACTATCATTCAGTTGTCAATTTGTGATGTTGAAGAAGAAATAGCTCCAACTCCAAAGGAGGCAGCGGCTCAGGATCCTAGTCGACTCGAGCATTTTGCGTCCAAATTTTGTCGTCAGAGGACTCCTGTTGCTTCTCGCGCAACACAGAGAAGGCCTGGTGCTGAAATCAACACCCCGCTGCGATGGGGGATTGTCACGGAGTACCAGAACCTCCTGGGCGATCGTTCTCGAGTGCCTCCTGGCGGATTGAAATCGCTGCAATCGCTGTTTCCTTGGCAGAATTTCAGCAAACGCGTCATCCAGAAACTATTGCAGAAAGCACCAGCATCGCTCCGTCCAGTTTGCTGATCTCTCTCGCAGTCATTCACGATGTGGCGGCCGACAAATCAAGATCACAGAAGAGATCGTCGAGAAGTTGATTGAAATAAATAACCGGCCTTGAGGTCGACTTTCAGGCGACAACCTGGCTGGAAAACTGAAGCGCAGAAAGGGTGAATTATCCGGCGGATATGGTGCGGAGTTCTCGGATCCGCGCGCGGAGCCGCGATCGCGATGTGTCACAAGATCGCCAGTCTCCGTGGCCAGTGGATTCGTGAAACAGGCAGGGAAGAGCACGCATGGTCTGACTGCATGACATGTCGACACAGATCAGACTCAGTACGCGCGCGGTACACGGTGGTCAGAAGTGATTTTTTATGCGTGGTGGTTTACTTGTTCGCCTCATTTGAAGGTGTCGTGGGAGCTTCAAGCGAAAACACCTACAGCCACCATTCTGGTAGTCGCACTACACGAGGAGGAGGCGAAATCGATCGTGGAAATCGTGCTTATGGAGTGAAAAATCAAAGAAGCGCAGTGTAGCTTGGAGGAGATGAAAAAATGTTTGTAGGTTGACGCACTTGCAGATGCGCCCTGAGACACCAGCAGCGATGAAAACTAGAAGGCCAGGACAAGAAACGACACAGTAGTTATCTATCTACCGTCTCTTGGTTGATTTTTTAGTACAGGTGCTCCTTTGTACATATCCTTGAGTTTTGAAGTGAAGCGCACATTTTAATAAGTCGGACCAAGTACACATCTTGTGATGGAATGGCCGTTCTGTGTGCCTTGGGATGCAAGAACACAGAGGACAAGTATTTTTGGTCTTTTTATCAGAGTATTCCAGAATTAGTGTGTGCAGGGGTTTTCATGTAATGAAGCGGCTGCAGTGGCGCTTGCGCACATTTTAAAAGAAATGTATTGCAAAATTAAACCACTAATTCAGGACTTCGACAGAAACCTAACTCACTGAAATAGGCACGAGCCGAAAAGCTAATAAAAGGACTCTTGACTACAACACCGCGGCTGCTCATATCCGCAGGCCGCCGCGCTCTACCAGCATGCAGGCAGTTTGGGGAATGCCATGTCAGTGAAAAACACTGGGTAGTTCTACAGCAGTTTGGGGAATGCCATGTCAATGAAAAACACTGGGTAGTTCTACAGCAGTTCGGGGAATGCCATGTCAGTGAAAAACACTGAGTAGTTCTACAGCAGTTTGGGGAATGCCATGTCAGTGAAAAACACTGGGTAGTTCTACAGCAGTTTGGGGAATGCCATGTCAGTGAAAAACACTGGGTAGTTCTACAGCAGTTTGGGGAATGCCATGTCAGTGAAAAACACTGAGTAGTTCTACAGCAGTTTGGGGAATGCCATGTCAGTGAAAAACACTGGGTAGTTCTACAGCAGTTTGGGGAATGCCATGTCAGTGAAAAACACTGAGTAGTTCTACAGCAGTTTGGGGAATGCCATGTCAGTGAAAAACACTGAGTAGTTCTACAGCAGTTTGGGGAATGCCATGTCAGTGAAAAACACTGGGTAGCTCTACAGCAGTTTGGGGAATGCCATGTCATTGAAAAACACTGGGTAGCTCCACAGCAGTTTGGGGAATGCCATGTCAGTGAAAAACACTGGGTAGCTCTACAGCTGTTTGGGGAATGCCATGTCAGTGAAAAACACTGGGTAGCTCTACAGCAGTTTGGGGAATGCCATGTCAGTGAAAAACACTGGGTAGCTCTACAGCAGTTTGGGGAATGCCATGTCAGTGGACAACACTGGGTAGTCTACAGCAGTCTCTCATGGAGTACATGTGTACACAGGCTACAGACTAGAGCAGCTCCTTGCCTGCATCCGCTGCTACTTGAGTTCTTACACGTCCCCCCCCCCCCCTCCTCCACCTATAATAAATCCCATCCAGAAGCAACAGTTGAAAACAGACTCCCCAGGGACTTAATTGGCAGAAACAAAACAAACGGCTAGCTATTTCAGTGTGTCACATCATGTGTGAAATAGACCTACGTTTACAGCTAATCTCTGGACAGCATTCTCCTTTCCGTGCATCGCCAGTGGCATTCTTTGTCACTACCGTTTCGTTACACTGCACACAAACATACAATAAAATGAGAATATTGATGCTTTGGCAGCCATCTCGACACCAAGAAAACTACTTCCTTCGTCAACTCAAACTTGGTGCACGTCTCCATGCAATCGTCACTCACTTGTTTTAGCAGACAATGAGGCAGTGTCATCACACAAGTCACACAGTAGTCATATAAGGTAAGATGTTCCAGAAGAAAGTACAGTTAGACCTCATTTCTCCACACACACAGTCATGCACATCCGCACACAGTCATGCACATCCGCACACAGTCATGCACATCCGCACACATGCATGCACATCCGCACACATGCATGCACATCCACACACATGCATGTGCGGACATAGACAGAGACATACAGACAAACAGGTAGACAGACAGACAGACAGACAGAAAGACACACGCATATATACACACACGCACACACACGTGCACGCAAGCTGCCAAGAAATCACTTGGATAGGCGAGGGGATTCCATAATGGATATGTGTCACACACCACACACATTCTGAATGTTTGCTGTTACAGGGTTCTAGCCGGGTCAGAATAGTAGGGGGGGGGGGGGGGGGCAGGGAAAACAGTTACCCCATAACCCATTTTCCATTTTCAAAATAACTGTCTTGCAATGCGAAATGCAACGTACGTGGCGAACACCTGACTTCACCCCAGACAAATGTGCCTTTATGAACCCTCTAGTACTGACTATCGACTGCATTTTTGTTGAATGGCATGAAAAACACAAAAATCGGAAAATGAGTAGGGGGCAGCACTTTTCACAGGGGAGGGGGCGCAAACAGAGTAGGGGGGGGGGGGGGGCTGTGCCCCCTACCCCCCTCCCCCCCCCCTTGGCTGGAACTATGCGCTAGTATTCGCGCTAGTGTTCTAGATTGTCTGGTGCGCCTAACAACATTCCTGTAGCCTAAAGGGTCGGTGATGTCATGGGCTTGTTAACCCTTTTGAGACTCAGAATGAGAGTGGCAATGAAGTATTCCATGACTGTTCTATTGATGTGAAACTGTGACTGCGTGAATGCATTGTAAACAGTACAGCACAAAGGAATCTCAGGTGCAGATGTAGTACGTGATGCAAACAGTATGATGATGACTTACACTGTCACATGTGGGGCACGGATAGTTGACGATGTCGCAGACTAAACACAAGTAGAAATAGTTAGAGAGAGAGAGAGAGAGAGAGAGAGAGAGAGAGAGAGAGAGAGAGAGAGAGAGAGAGAGAGAGAGAAAGAAAGAGAGAGAGAGAGAGAGAGAGAGAGAGAGAGAGAGAAAGAGAGAGAGAGATGGATGGATGGATGGATGGATGGATGGATGGATGGATGGATGGATGGATGGATGGATAGATAGATAGAGAGAGAGAGAGAGAGAGAGAGAGAGGGGGGGGGGGTATTGCGGCATGAGTGCAGGGCAATGATTTACAATCGTGCACACTGTAGAGCATGGTGTGGCTGATTAGGCTGTGATTTGAACATGCTTTGCAGTCATATCTTGACACCATGGCAAGAACCAGCAGAAGGAAGGGAGAATACTCAGTTTACTTGAGACTAACAGACAGAATGGTCTTTCTATGCTGATTTGGGGCCAGGGAGGGCTGGGGAGGGGGGGGGGGGGGTCTAGTCCATGTGTATGCTGCTATACAGCAAGAATGCAGCAGAGACTGTACATATCCAGCAGGAACGCGCATATTTACGTGTGGATGCTGAGAGAAAAAAAGCACTGTGTTCCACGTCAGCAAAACAGAGCATTCAATTCCAATGTCTTCCGGCGCACCACGGTGGAATATTCGTAGACCATTCGACTCCTACAACGTAACATGTGCACAAGTGGTGATCACCAACACTATGTTCAGTTCAGAAGGGAAACGAAACGATGCATGTGCTTACTTGGATAAGCTATACAGCAGTTGTATGGTACTGTAAGGTTTGTACTCGGAATAATCGTCCGATGGTGATCAGCTGTTTCGTTTATCACGGTGATGCATCCCTGGAAAGGAAAACAAAGGAGACATGTCGGAAAACAATACAAGAAGTACTTGCAATAGATGGGAGCTGTTAGAAATCCTGCATGAAGTAATGTGCAAGACATGACTAGTGCCTCTGCAATTCAGTAGACACAAGGTCTCTTCTGATATGATGGCATAATTCACTTGTTACGGAGCATATCGGAGAGCTACTAGTCGCATTCTTGAAAAAATATTTTCGTGCAATTATTGATTGCCTGCAACACCCAAAGAGCACTGCTAGTCTTCTGATCCATGCAATACGAGGGATAAAATAAAGAGAAAAAAACAGAGACTTACAGGAGCGCCGTTACACATGTCTATAGAATGGGCCACGTCTGTGCAAGGTTTGCAGCCTGGGTTTGTACATGATACACACAGACATGCATCCATACACACACACACACACACACACACACACACACACACACACACACACACACACACATAGAAACACACACACACACACACACACACACAGAAACACACACACATACATTACATCAGCGGCTCATATTTTGCCTTGGACTAAACAGAACATTACGAGTAAATGGGAAACTCAGGGTGGCATTGTTCATCCCAGTCATGTCATGAAGAGCTCATATTCAGTTTATATTCGATTAACAATATCAGAGAAGCGGACATTCTGAAAAAACAAACATGGTGAACATACATGAAAGGTTTCCTAATCAATTTTCATGAGACAGCAGTCACCAGGGATAGTGGTTGTCTCAACAACAGAAGCTAGGCCTGCAGGGCTGGTGAATTTGCTGCAATACTTCCATCGTGAAAACTCATTTTTCAAGTTCACATTCGTGTACATGAAAAGCACATGCAAGCAATAGGGTGTACAGTATCTTCTGGGATTAGGGCTGGACTTTTACTACCGCCTGTCCGAAATAAGCGCCATATCATTTCAGGGCTTCTGTGTTTTTTTTCAAACTGGGGGAAATTTTAGGACTCGCAAACTACTAAGCGCCTCGGCTAGTCTGCCGCAAATACCGTATGTCAGATTTTCGGACATAAAAGGCAGAGAGAGAACGAAAGAGAAAGAGAGATAAGAGGGTGTTTCACCACTCAAACTACACAGCATGTGCATTACTCTTAGTATAATCTTGTACTATATGTTGTACAGTGGAGCTATAAGCCCAGCTATAGCACGTATTGGAACTGAGGGTTTTTTCTACAAAACCCACACACAGTAAAACCTGGTTTAAGCGACCACCCAACGGTGCAAGTAAAAGCGGTCGTTAAAGCCAGGTGGTCTTTAGAACCAGGTCCCACAGTGCCTGTGTAGAACTGTCGGTGCATGGAAAAACGGTCGTTAAGAGCAGGTGGTCGCTAAACACAGAGGTTGCTTACAACACCAGGTTGTACTGTGCATGTATCTGCAGACACTATGCATGAATACGACTTCTGCACGGTCAGAGACTCAGAGGTGGCAAACTCCGCAACTGTTTGATACATTGCACTACTTTTCAAAGTGCACGCAATCTCATATTCGGAACATAGTGCACACCTGCAATTCGTGGCGTGAAATAGCGCATATCAAGTGCACACTGTACTCAGGCAAATACGGTATATAAAACGGCACATGACTTACTGCAAGCTCCACAGCCCTGGCAATCTGTTGCCGAGCAAGAATCCGATGAGTACTTTGTTTCTTTGCCGTTGAATCCCTGTAGCAGCAACAAGCACACCCAGCCGCATGTTCACGTGTCCATAGGTAATGTTGGAATGGTGGTGGTTTGTTCTCAGCTCCATTGTGTACGCTGTACCAGCGCTCGTTTTCGGACCCAACATTCAGTCGTATTTTGGGCACATTTCGAGGTGGTCTCCAGTTCCAAGGTATCCGAAAGTTATGCAATGAGCGCCTTCGCATGGTTGTTGTAGACCCCAAAGGAAACCTACTTGCAAAATTTGAGCGAAATCGGAGAGATGGCCCAGCCCAGCTTTTCTGGTTTTCTCAGACATGCTCTCTTAAGATACTAGCAAAATCTATCAAACTTACAGGAGGACAGTATTTGTCAACGCTTTCACCAGATTCAAGAGGAAATGTGACAGGGCAACCTGCAAAGAGAATAAGAAGAAGCGAAGAAAGCGATTGAAACTGTGCAACCATAATATTAAAAAAAAAAAACTTTTCAAGTGGCACCATTTCAAAGAAGATTCAATGAGGAAAACTTCATTTTGCCAGCAGAGCACACCCTGGTGCAGTACTGTTTACAAGTTCACACCTTCCACTTCTATATTCACTAACAGTCTATACTATAATCTATACTTTCCGCACTCATAGCTCCCTCATCCAAGTGACCATCCACACGGCCATCATGGCAGTATTTATGTGCTGAATCAATACCCACTAGCTATCACCAAACTATGCTTTATTCCCGTAGCTATGCAGAAGACGTTACTTCAATAACGTCTGGCGCTAGCCAGGGTCCACACAGCTTTAATTTGGTATTTGTTTGTGTGTTTGTTTGTTTGTTTGTTTGTCTGTGTCACGCCTGGCGCTATCCCGTATCTGACGGCAAAAAATCATAGGGATGTTATACATTTTTCAATTCTCCTATTTTTTTCAGGCATATCCTGGGATTCGAACCCGCACTATCGCCCTACGTGCATTCCCCCATACACTTCGCATTCATACCCATTCTTCCAAGTTGCTTCACGTTATTGGAAAGGCTTCCTGTCTGAAGCCTTTCCATACTGGTACTCGATGTTCCAGTTTTGTGACACGAGAATGGCACGAGAATTAGTGTACCGCTGAGTGTACCGCTATACACGTGGTCGACACGTAGTCGACACGTTGTTGATACTTCTTTGACACGTGATCCCGTCAACCGTCTGCTTTGTGCCAAACACACTCGGAAACGCCGATGTCGCGTACGACAAAGACGACTATCCCGTACGCGAAATAGTTGAGAACTGCATGACGTGGATCTGACGGCAAGGACAACTGCGAGGAGGCCCCTTTCGGTACCCCTGACGGGAAGGAGAACTGCAGAAGTCGACGAAGTCGAACGAGGAGGCCCCTTTCCGTACCCCGTACTGCAAAGTGCCATTGATGGATGCCTTTTGCACCTGGAACGATCCCTTAAACGCTGTCGCGGCGACTATCCCGTACGCGAAATAGTTGAGAACTGTTGACGTGGACCTTTTGCACCTGGAACGGCCCCGTAAACGCTGTCGTGTCGGCGGAGTGAATGTGCAGGGTGAAAAGAATTGCTGCAAAGACGTCCCCTGGCCCTCTAGGCCTTTGGAGACATCGTCGGCGGACTGAATGCGCAGGGCGAAAAGAATTGCTGCAAAGACGTCCGCTCTAGGCCTTTGGAGACATCGTGGGAACTCCTTCCGGTACTATACAAACTGCTGACGTGGCCGTGGACATGTACATATATGGAGACATGGTGGGACTTCATGTACATGGATACATGGTGGGAATTCCTTCCGGCACCCCCGTACTGCAAAGCCAACGGTGGGGAAGGAGAAGTGCAGACGTGCAGGAAGACGAACGAGGAGGAACCAGGACGAGCGAGCAATGGCAGGACTAGCTGGACCGTAAGTAATAGCTGAATTGCGCATGACAACTTGACATCCATGCGGAACTCGCCACTTGCCACTGCATATTTCTTGTCCACCAACAATGTCTCTCCTCTGTCCCCTGTGTGTCCACGGCCCTGTTGCTGAATTGGCCCGATGAATCGAATGTCTTCCGCAACTGGAACGGCCCAGTAAACGCTGTCGCGTCGGCGACTGAATGCGCAGGAGGGAAAATATTGCTGCGAAGACGTCTCCTCTAGACGACGGTAAGGCACCCCATTGATATGTTGCCAGTGTGTGTATCACGCGATGGTGAATGAGGAATGACGAAGGATACGGTGGGACTGTAGACCCGTTACCTTCTACTAACACGTTATCAGGTGGAGAGTGTCTTGTACTCACGTTATCAGGTCGAGAGCGTATTGTAGTCACTCTCTCTCTATTCCTGTACTTCATTACGCTTAAGGTGTACGTATAACTTCTCCAAAAAAATTAATGGTCTACAGTCGTGTCGGAAGGGTACGGTGGGACTGTAGACCTGTTACCTTCTAACACGTTATCAGGTGGAGAGTGTCTTGTACTCACGTTATCATTATATCAGGTCGAGAGCGTATTGTAGTCACTCTCTCTATTCCTGTACTTCATTACGTTCCAGGTGCACGTACAACTTTTCCAAACAATTTTATGGTTCACGTCTTCAGATAGAGAGCGTATTGCACCCACTGTCTAGTTTCTGTAGTGCATTGAGATTTTGTTCATCGCACATGAAAATGGATACACAGACAAAGCAGGCCAAGTACATGGCGAGATGTCGCCAGAAGAACGTCTTCAGATAGAGAGCGTATTGCACCCACTGTCTAGTCGATTTTGTGGATCGCACATGAAATGGATACACAGACAAAGCAGGCCAAGTACATGAGAGAGTGGACGATGTGCGGATCGACACGGCCTGCGGGTACTTCATTAAAGTTACCCGTGACATAACTAGGATAAAAGTTAATCACTGCAAAGACATTGCCAAGTATGTGAGCACTTTGGACTTGACAGAAGAGTGCACGGGCGACGTTGACAAAACATACTGCGGTGACTGTCACTATCATGACAGCAGGGCACATCGCACGCAGCATCGCAGATCGTGTCGAATTCCGCATCATAATATTGCAAAATTGCTCCTGTGCATGCAAGTGGATTTCATTGCACTTCTCAGTTTGGGAAATGCTCGATTATGACAATTCTGCGTGTGAGTGCACTAGCCCTGAACATACATGTAGGTGACTGTAGTACTGTACTATGTTCTGAGTCAGTGTGTGCATGCGGGATATTACGCATGCGCACGTGACGATGTCGTTGGTTGTTGTTTGAGAGACTGATGAGCAAGAATGTGTTTTCTATGGTAGCTGTGAGACTGAGAGTGTATTCTAGTATCGTGGGACGCAGTTCCTACAGTGACCCGTTTGTGGTGTCTCATAGCTAGCCCTTTCCCAAAGATGCTCGCCACTTTTTTCGGAACTTTTCGTTGTTTAGGAAGAAATCGCAACTTTCTTCATTTTCCGGAACTATTTCGCAACTTCTCCGCAACCTTGGCGCAATTGGCCCCATGGCATGGGGTCAAAAGGTCAAGTCACCGACTACATGTTGCATTGTTGGACAAATACATACTCGTGCTCGCTCATTTCTCGCCTGCCTTCAGGCTCATTTCTGAGAAACAGTAGATCAACGGTACTTGCGATAATTATGTGCATTCCCTTTTCCGTGCACTGTAATGATGTACCTGTAGGATACATGCAACAGGCTACTGGCACTGTGTAAAGTGGTGGTTCACACCAGGAAGGGGTGTACGAGTTTGCTGTCGCAGCATCGCTGCATTTCTGCTATTTCTGCTCCCTGTTTTGTAGGTTTTGCACAAGAACTCTCCAATTTTGAGTTGCGATATTGGCAACTTTTAAGCTTTTTCTGAAAATATGGATGCGATTTCAGCAACTAGCACTTGTTTTGGCACGGTTGGGAAAAGCATAAGTTGCGAAAAACTATGGCATCTTTGGGAAAGGGCTACTCATAGCCTACCTCATGACCTTCTGCTTTCTTTCTTCATCACTTGTATCTTGCAGGTATATCATCCCGTGACGACCACATTGAAGTCTGAATTTGAAGTGTGAAGATGCTTCAGCAACCACATCGTACTTTTCCATTGCTTTCATTGTGCTTCTACTGTGCATGTGTGTAACTTGTGGGGTAAACATGTGATGACATTGTATGCTGGCGACACGGTCAGATGTTGTCCATGCGTCTAACGTACACCTGCATGTTATGCATTGAAAAGGATTTGCCACTTGCGATCCTGGGACGAGTATCAGGTCACCTTTGTCCTGTGTGGCACTGGGCTGTATCAGATTGCTGTTCACTTCTCTATCTGTTGGATGTGTGACTTTCTGCAAGTTTCTGGTGTATGATGGCCACTTCCTGGCTTGTCACTTTGTATGATATTACATTCTGTATTCGCTGCTTCCATGGCGTGGTCTGCAAACTGCAATCCTTGGGCAAATGTCATGTTTGCTATTTTGTCCTTTGGCCGTCAGCTTGTCTACACGCTGTAGTTGAATTATTTTTGTTTCACAACTGACTTCCTCAAGTACGGTGGCCACTGCTTTGCATGGCATTATACATGAAGAATTTCCTGTTTGTGTCGTGTGCATGTGCGTATGTGTGCGTGGCCACGTGTGTGTGCCGTGTGCATACGCATGTTTGTGTATCTGTGTGCGGGGTAGCGAGGCGGGGAAGGCTGGTATGTATCAGTGTGTTATTGCAGTCTCATGGCTACACACAGTACATCGCGCGCGTGGTCATCATGTTTACCTTCTGGGTTGGGGTGGGGAGGGAACGGAAAAAGAACTGAAATTATCCATATAAAAATCGCTCGGTGAGCGGTTCTGAAAAACCTTTACTGGTACTGCCCCGTCGTAAAAGTAAGAAATTAGAACTGGCCCATTGTCCCCCCAAATGCGAACTGATCCACCTAAATCGCGAATGACGGGACCCGAACGCACCAGTAGCACGAGGTTCCTGCCTGTGGATGCAGATGGGGACGTCGGTCCGGACCATAGGCCATGTACTGTTCTAGCGGTAGGTGGTGTTACCCTATGCTAATTGCTGTCCTGTGCCCTCCCGACCTCGTGCTACTGGTGCGTTCGGGTCCCGTCATTCGCGATTTAGGTGGATCAGTTCGCATTTGGGGGGACAATGGGCCAGTTCTAATTTCTTACTTTTACGACGGGGCAGTACCAGTAAAGGTTTTTCAGAACCGCTCACCGAGCGATTTTTATATGGATATGATCTTGCGTTTGAAAGCCCTATTTTAATACTGCGGGCAGCTGTATGTGGCCAGCTGTGTCTGATGGTACGGTACGGGAGACGGTGTCGTATTACCCTCGATCGTACCTGTCCCGTACCTATCCCTACCGTACCGTACCATCAAAGACGGCTGGCCACAATGCATATTCAAATAGGGCTTTCAAATGCAAGATAGTGCGGGTTCGAATCCCAGGTTATGTCTTAAAAAAAAAGGAATTTTTTAAAGACCGGGGGATGCATGCAGGGCGCGATAGTGCGGGTTCGAATCCCAGGTTATGTCTTTAAAAAAAGGAATTTTTTAAAGAATTTATAACATCCCTATGCTTTTTTTTGTCTAGGTCATCAAGGCAAAAAAAGCGTAGCTTAGGGCCCTGAGCTTCCAAGCTCTCTCGTATTGGCCAAGTCCCACTGAATATGTCATGGGTTGTCTGATGATTGCATTGTGAAAGAAAGTCTGAGTTGCAACGAACTCTGTAAACCTCCTTTGAGCATATCAATCCATCATGTGTCATGTGTCATGTGTCATGTGTCATGTGTCAACTGAGAAGATACATGTATATATGCCTCCTTATACAGCAATTCAACCTCCACCACATGCGCTCTCTGGCCGACCTCATTATACCAGCAACATGACTACAAGTTGGCAAGTTGTAGATACTGACAAAATCAATAAAATGTCCTCCATACAGCGATTTTTCAACCACTAAGGTCTCATCAGTGAGGGTTGAGAGTACTGAATGAATGGCTAGAGTTATTTAGCAGCACTAGTTACAGAGAAGACGGCACTGCTAGGCGTCCTAAGTGTACTTTGAAGTACTGAGAACAAACATTGTAGAGATGCTGAAGGCGGCACAACAGATTCTAGCACTCTAGAATAAACCGAGCATAGTGAAGATAAGGGTGACAGTTCAGACGTTGGGCTCTAACACGACACTGCGAGTAGTAACGCGAGAGGCACCGGGGGGCATTTACTAAGTGTTAGCACTTAGCACGTCTGTCACCTCAAGGCGCGGAATCGTGCTTCTTTGCGTTCACAGTTATTATCTGTAACTAGTGATGCTAACTAACTCTAGCCCTTCATTCAGTGCTCTCAACCCTCATTGATGAGACATTTATGGTTGAAACAGCGCTGTATGAAGGACATTTTATTCCCGTAGCTATGCAAAAGACGTTACTTCAGTAACGTCTGGCGCTAGCCAGGGTCCACACAGCTTTAATTCCGTGTTTGTTTGTTTGTGCCATCGGCATGCCTGGCGCTATCCCGTACCTGTCCCGTAGCGTACCATCAAGGACAGCATCGGCATGCCTGGCGCTACTCCGTACCTGTCCCGTACCGTACCATCAAAGACAGCTGGCCACAATATTCAAATAGGGCTTTCAAATGAAAGATCATAACGTGAAGCAACTTGGAAGAATGAGTATGTATGCAAAGTGTATGGGGGGAATGCATGCAGGGCGGTAGTGCGGGTTTGAATCCTAGGTTATGTCTGCAGGGCGGTAGTGCGGGTTTGAATCCTAGGTTATGTCTGCAGGGCGGTAGTGCGGGTTTGAATCCTAGGTTATGTCTTGAGTCCTATTGCTGGTGTGATGAGGTCGGTCAAAGAGCGCATGTGGTGGAGGTGATGTCACTTCTCTGCGGTTGACGTCACAGTATAAGAATTAGCAGAGAAGTAGTGTTCTCTGTCCACCCGGGAACGGGTACGAGGGAGCACGGTGTGGGATAAAGGGGGGTGACGAGTGCAGGGTCGGCCTCTTTTGGCTTTGTGCGGAGAGTTGAGTGAGAGTGCCCACCCACCCACCCCAGTAATCATCATGTAATTTCATAATATTATATCATCGCTTGTATTGTTCTAGAGCTGTGTGGATGCATAAGGGTCTAATGTGGTTTTTGGTTGTACATAGCTGGAGTTTTTGTTGGACTAGGCAATGGTTTTGTATAGTCATGCCCACGGAATTGTGTGCAAAGAAGATAAGTTGGGGCGCTGTGCTATGGTGGCCCCCACTGGCAATATTGACGTGTTCAATAGTGGTGTACACGTATGAGTGAATGTGCGGATGTGTGCGAAACGAGTGGAGTGCAGGGTGGACAGAGAAGAATTGCTTTATTGCTAAACATGTGGTACAGGTAGAATTGCTTTATTGTAAACATGTGGCAGAGGTAGAATCGCTTTTTTCCCGTAGCTATACACAAGACGTTACTTTAGTAGCGACTGGCGCTAGCCAGGGTCCATGGCCCTTTATTTCATATCTGTGTGTGTGTGGTCGGGGGGTGGGGGGAGGGTCCTAGGGCATCATCACATGACGTGCCAGGCCTGGCTGGCTATCCCGTACACGTCCTGTACAGTACCGTCAAAGACAGCTAGCTGGCAGTGGCTACATACTCATACAGGGCTTTCAATGGCAGGATCATAAAGTGAAGCAATTGGGTAGAATGTGTATGTATGCAAAGTGTATCGAGGGAATGCATCTTTTAATAAGCTAGCACCATAGCGTAATATTATATCTACTTAGTAGAACGTACCTGTCTGGGTGACTGAGAGATTGAGATTTGAGTTATGTATCTATGTGTGCTTATGAGATAAGTTTCTTTTTAAAAAATTACGAACGAGAGGGCTTGAAAGCCCAGGAGCCCTTGCTCTGCTTTGATTTTACCTGGGTCATCATGTGTGTTTTCGGAACTGATGGAAACGTCTTAGCGATACAAAAACATGTGCCCCATAGTGAAAGACGTTTCTATCAGTGCAAATAACACACATGACCACCTAGGTAAAGACAAAGCATAGCGAGGGCTCCCTGGCTTTCAAGCTCTCTCTCTCTCTCTCTCTCTCTCTCTCTCTCTCTCTCTCTCTCTCTCTCTCTCTCTCTCTCTCTCTCTCTCTCTCGTTGCTTCGCGGGCCAAAAGCTGCTGCTTACTGCTTAGTACATGCATACTGGTGACTGGATAAAATCAATGTGTGTTCAACAGTGACAGCAGACAATCCAACATACAATCAATGTGTGTTCAACAGTGACAGCAGACAATCCAACATACATTTACTGTCACACTCACTTCTTTTGGCACAGAATTTCTTATCAAAGCAGTTACAGGGAGTACCAGTTCCATTCTTTTCCACCACCAATGTTCCGCACTGTAGTCAGAGAAGATGATATGGACAGTTGAAAAATGGCAACACACTGTTAGACCACCTCAACCGTGCACGCTGTTAGACCACCTCAACCGTGCAGTGTATGCCAGTCAGCAGCACCGGGTGGGACAGCAATTGCTTTGATTCCTTTTGGTCTTTTTCATTTTTTTCCCGCACACATATCACACACGTACACACGCACACACGTACACACACACACACACACACACACACACACACACATCCACACACACACACACACAAACTCACGCACGCACGCACACACACACACACACACACACACACACACACACACACACACACACACACATCCACGCCTAACATCACCAATGCCGTGCAACCGACATACGGGAAGAGCAACAACTATCAGCTCCTATTCCTTTACGATGATTTATCCATTTCATCCTACTCCCGTCTTTTCAGGAGTATAAGCCGCACTCATAAATAGGATAGATGTCTGTATTTCCTGGGAAAAAAAATGGGGGTGCGGCTTATACTCCAGTGCAGCTTATGCTCCGGAAAATACAGTAGTTTGATCATATTTATCAGGGTTTGTGACATTAATGCAAAATATTGCAAATCTCGTATAGAGTGAACCTCGGAGCCTTTATCAGTGCACACACAGTGACATGGAACATGTAGAGTAGCTTTATCAGTGCACACACAGTGACATGGAACATGTAGAGTAGCTTTATCAGTGCACACACAGTGACATGGAACATGTAGAGTCAGGGGCGTACATAGGGCGGTTCCCGGGATGCCCGGGAACCAGTAAAATAATTTCGATGTGGGTAGATCTACGGAGAATGTTTTGATCAAGGCCCAGCGTGCATGCAGTGCATACATGCCTTGGCGGCGTAGTCGCCTGCAGTCCGCCTGACCGTCCGAGGACGGTGACAAGGCAAGGTGTAAAAGTGCTGCTGAGGCATTTTTGTGACACAGCGTAGATCTACTGAACTTACTGGGTGCAACGAAGTCTCTACATACGAGTTACAGCGATTCCTCGATCTCAGAGTCATTTCCTTTGCAGTTTGTTTCGACAAAGTTGATTACGTTTTTGACGACGCTTTCGCTTTGTGGAAAAGAAAAATGAAGAGTCGACATCCAGAGGGCCAGCGCTCTATTCAGAGCTATTTTGAGCAGGAGGCAAAGCGTGTAGCCAGTGACGAAGGTCAAGCGATAGATGAGATTGCGGACGCACCTGACTTCCAAGTGGAGTCTGCAACGAGCAGCACAGAGGACGGAATCGTCGGCGAAGCTGTAGAGCGACCGTTGTTGGAAGCTGCTGGATCATCCAAGACTTACTTCAGTGACATTGGAGTGTGTTGGAAAGGATATTCTGAAAGTGTACCTCCACGGTGGAATCCCTGATTCCTCCGAAATTTGCCATACATGGAAAAGATTTCCGTCATTGACAATCATTGTGCGCCACTAGCTGCACTGAAGGCGAAGGATTTCGTTTCCTGTGCGTGTCCAGACGGGTGGCAAACAGCGCCGCTTTCAACTATCCTGGTTGGAGGATTTTCCCTGGGTAGTCTTTTGACCGGCGTTCCATGGTGGCTTCTGCTTGCCCTGTGTAATGTTTGCTCCAGGTGATTCAAAGTTTGGGCAGCTTTACCGCAGTCCTCCCGAGAATATAACCCGACTCAAGACTGAGCGTGTGGATGTGCTTCAGCGACTCGTTTCACGGCATAACATGAAATCGTCCTGCTGAACAAAACATCCATAAAAAATGCCTTGGCAAAGTTCAGTCTTTTTGAATCAAATACGCGTAGCAGTGACATTATCCAGCAGTTTATGCAGAAACTCCATCGGATACGTATAAGAGCACTAGCCGTGTGGAATTATGTTGGTTGATCAGTTTGCATGGGAACCACTCCTAGAGGCGAGCGGTGTACGCCCCTGAGAGTAGTTTTATCAGTGCACACACAGTGACATGGAACATGTAGAGTAGCTTTATCAGTGCACACACAGTGACATGGAACATGTAGAGTAGCTTTATCAGTGCACACACAGTGACATGGAACATGTAGAGTAGCTTTATCAGTGCACACACAGTGACATGGAACATGTAGAGGCCTGGCAAAAAACTGTACGATGCACAGTCAGCACAAACCCAGGTACTGGACCTCAGACCCAGTAATGGACCTCAGACCCAGGCACTGGACCTCAGACCCAGGCACTGGATCTGCACTACACAGTCGTCACTTGTCAAGTACGTACACAGCAGTCGACAGGCTTATCCTGGGACGTGTCACACTCTAAGAACAAGAAATAAGACAGAAACAGAAACACATACTCTGAAACATTGACAGAGCCCAGCTGTGTAACAGCCTGTCCACGTTACACACAGCGCAGGTAATAACCAGTAGGTAGTTAACAACCAGTAGTCAGGGTTCTAGCCCGGTCAAAATAGTAGGGGGGGGGGGGGGGCAGGGAAAACAGTTACCCTGTAAGGTTGTAACCCATTATTCCATTTTCAAAACAACTGTCTTACAATGCGAAATGCAACGTACGGGGCGGACACCTGACTTCACCCCAGACAGATGTGCCTTTACGAACCCTCTAGTACTGACTATCGTCTGCATTTTCGTTGAATGGCATGAAAAAACACAAAAATCGGAAAATGAGTAGGGGGGCGGCACTTTTTCACAGGGGGGGGGGGGGGGCTGCGTCCCCCTACCCCCTTTGGCTAGAACCCTGAGTAGCTAATAACTAGGCATAAGCAACAGAAGGCAGTGCTAGGTGACAACTACATGTACCCAGCACCAGCACCAGCAGCTTCAGCAGAAGCAGCAGCAGCCGCAGCAACAGCAGCAGCAGCAGCAGAAGCAACAGCAGCAGCAGCACCACCACTAGCAGCAGCAGAAGACTTACCTTGGTACGGACAGCCACACTTGCTGTTTTTAAGTTTAGAGTCCTGTGGATTGCAGCAATACACATACATCAATACACATGAGTATACATGGGGGGTACACATGGCTAGTACATGAATACACATGCCTACACATGAATACACATCGGTAAGGTAAGGTTCGCACATCCACGTTACAACCGGCTATACAATCGGTACACATGGATATACATGGTACACATGAATATACATGGTACGCATGAATATACATAAAACCACATGGTAACACAGGAGTACACATGGATGAATATACAGTCAAACCTCTTTAGGACGAACACTGAGAAGGAGAAAATTCCATTAGTACGAACTTGGGCCAATCCTATGGTCGGTGTAGTGTTCATGTGTTCCTACGCGCTGTGGCATTCCTTGGCCACTCCAGAAATTCATGATGCATGTAGTAGTAGTACTGTAAGACATGTTATTATAACGAGTCGCAAATTTAACGATTGTCCAAAATTCATAGGTTAACGAGAAGATATGTTAACGATCTCGCAGTATTCTGCCATATCCACACACAGCATATATGAAGCAGTACGGCTTCAACGGATCTTATTATAACGAAGAAATGTCATCCGTTAAAACGTTAGATTTGCTTCCTCGTTATATATACATGTCTTACAGTAGTACATCGTGATGTTATGCATGTAGCATGTGCCGTTTCCCGCGCGCGCGTGAAACGGACTTCGCGGCTTTTAGTTGCTGTGCATGGTTTGACTCTGGACTCTTGTTGTTTTGGACTGGAGATATCATCAATACTACATTGGCGCTGCGAGCTATTTCGTTCCTCCGCGGCGAGCATGGGTGACCGACCACCCGCCATTCCGCCCCCTGGACCTTTTCCAATTTATGTCTCCCTCTACGATGCCGCCATGCGCTGGCCCGCCTGGACATGGAGTTTCAAACTTTATCTTGCTGCGTCCAAAATTGGCGATGACGACCAACAGCGTGGGCTACTCCAGTACCTGGGAGGAGACGACATCCAGCAACTCGTGCCCACTCTCAGCAACACAGGGGCAACATTCGACGACCTCGCCAAAGCGTTGCAGGACGAGTTCGATAAACACCAAAACAAAACGCTCCTCAGGTACAATTTCCGTCAGCTTCGTCAACAGCCGACCGAGACTATGGCGGGTTTCTGCTGTCGTTTGGGCGACCACGTAAAACGCAGCGGCTTCCCGGATACTGCCGCGGAGAAATTGGCTGTCTTGGACCAGCTGATCATCGGCTGCAAGTCCGACGCCCTTCGGCGAAAACTGCTGGAGATCGATGGCCTCGACTCCGACAAAGCTATGAAAGCAGCCCGCGCGTATGAGGCCAGCATCACCCATGTACTCGCCATCAAGGACGCCTCTCTGGGCTCTTCAGTGGCTTCACAGCAGGACGCCCACGTCGCTTCCCTGGCGTCAGCAGCACCCCAGCCTGCCCATGTGGATGCCCTCTCCGGGTCACAGCGCCACGGCTACGCAGCTGCACGCCAGCCCCAAGCCCAGTGTCCACAGCCTACCTCATCCGGTCTGACCTGCTACCGGTGTGGAAAGCCAGGCCATGCCACATGTGACGCTGCCAAGGGCCAGTTCTGTAGCCGCTGTGGCAAGCCAAACCATTTCGCTGCGACATGCCGCGCCTCGGACTCCGCCATCCAGGCCACTTATGTTCAGGGAACGCCGTCCCCACCAACACTCTGACCAGCACGCTGTCAACAGCGGCCACCATGCCATTCATTCTTTAGAGATTGGCGCAGAGCTGTTTTCTACCGCCTCTCCGCCTCGCCCATCTACGGCACCCTGCCGTGAGGATGCCCGGCGCACTGTGCACGTCAACGGCATACCCCTGACTGTCTTGGTGGATAGTGGTGCCAGTCACAATATCATCAATACTGATGACCTGGCAAAGGTTGCCCCTGGTGCAGCACTTCAGCAAACGGATGTGCAAATCTTTGCTTACGGCTCAACTTCACCTCTTCCTCTTCTGGGTAGCATCACCCTCTGAGTTTCCTCCGCTACCATGAGTTCGACGGCAACATTCCTCGTTGTCGCACACGCGCCACGTACCGCTGCTATCGTTGGCCGCGAGACCGCCATGCGTTTTGGCCTCATCCAGCTGGTCCACAGCATCGAAAGTCCGCAACTGCCAGACGACCTTGCTGAGTACCACGACCGCTTCCAGGGCCTCGGCTGCATCAACGACGTAGAAGCCCATATCCACGTATAAGGCAACGCCCGCCCTGTCGCTCACGCACCATCCAAAGTGGCTGTCCACCTCCAGGAGGACGCACTCGCTGAGCTCCATGAGCAGCTCGCATTGGATGTCATCGAGCCTGCCACTGGCCCCACCCCATGGGTTGCCCGAATGCTGGTCGTGCCGAAGCGCAAGGGCAAAAAGCGCCTCACGCAGGATTTCCGTGATGTCAACGCCGTTGCGGCACGGGAACGCCATCCCATCCCCACGCTCGAGGATATTACTTCCGACATGCCAGGGGCCACCGTGTTCACCGAGTTGGATATGAACAAGGCCTTCCACCAGATCTCACTGGCCGAGTCATCCCGTCTTTTCACCGTGTTCCACACGCCCCTCGGCCTAATGCGGTGCAAGCGACTCGCCATGGGGTTGGCTTCAGCGTCTGAGATCCTCCAGCGGACCATGGACCATGTCCTCGCGGGTCTCCCAGGTGTTCGCAGTGTGCACGACAATATATTCATCTACGGCGAGACGACCCAAGTCCACGATGAGCGCCTACACGCCTGCCTGCAACGCCTACGTGCCCACAATGTTACCCTCAACCTGGCGAAGTGCCAGTTTCGCCAAACCCGCCTGGCCTTCATGTCGACTATCTACAGTCGCCGGGGCACTCAGGCTGCACCACACCACAAAGAGAGCATTGCTGTTTTCGCCACACCCAAGTCAGCTTCCGATATCAAGAGTTTCCTGGGTTTGGCGACATTCATGCGCCATTACATCCCCGACATGGCCACCAAGACGGCACCCCTGCGGAAACTCCTTGGCAAGGGTCAGCAGTGGGATTGGTCACCCGAGGCTCAGGCAGCATTCGATGCCATCAAAGCCGACATAGCAGCTGATCGGGCCCTCGCCTACTTCGACCGTACCAAACACACTCACCTTTACGTCGATGCCTCACCCGTTGGCCTTGGCGCCATCCTCTGCCAGTCTCCTGAAGCAGTCGTCCAGGATCACTCCGAGCTGAAACCAGTCGCATTCGCAAGCCGCAGCCTGACCCCCACTGAGCAGCGTTATTCGCAAACGGAACGCGAAGCCCTCGGTGTGAAGTACGGCTGTTTGCGCTTCTCCCATTTCCTCAGCGGCGACCCCGGCTTCACGGTCCACACCGACCACAAGCCCCTTCTACAGCTGCTTCACCCGTCTTCACGACCTCCACCCCGCATTGAACGGATGGCTCTCAAGGTCCAAGACCTCCACTTCAAGCTGGTGTATGAACCTGGCCCTACCAACCCAGCAGACGTCTTGAGTCGTCACCCTCAGCCACATCCTCCCCTGCCGAATGTTGGTGAGGAGGAGGACACCGCCTATATCAATGCCATCGCGCAGTCCTCTGTTCCCAACGCCCTCCTCTTGTCCGACATCCAAGGCGCAACTTGAGCAGACTCAACGCTCCAGGCCGTGCTGCTGTCACTGCAGACGGGCATGTGGGACGACAAGGCAGTGGACATCCGCCCTTTCTACACGCAAAGGCATGAACTCTCCGCCGCCGACGGTCTCCTGCTCAAGGACCATCGTCTGGTGATTCCACTGTCTCTCCGAGAGCGGACACTTCAGCTGGCCCACTCCGGCCACCAAGGCATGACACGGACCAAGCAACGACTGTACACGAAAGTCTGGTGGCCTGGCATGACGTCCGCTGCGGAATCCCTCTGCCGCCAATGCCTCTCCTGTCAGGCAAACACGCCAACAGGCCCATACAGGCCGGAATCCACACCGACCCCACCATCGACGGCGCCATGGCAACGGGTGTTTGTCGACCTGTATGGCCCCTTGCCAGGCGGAAGCACACTCTTGGTTGCGGTGGACCAACTGAGTCGCTACCCAGTCACTCACGTGTTCAACTCCACTCCCGCTACAGCTGGCGTCCTTGCAATGCTCCGCAGTGCGTTCGCAGCATTCGGCCTGCCAGAAGAAGTGGTCTCTGACAACGGCCCCCAGTTCCGCTCGGCGGAGTTCAATCGTTTCCTGGCCCAGATGGGCATCGCTCACCGTTGCACGCCTCCTCTCTGGCCCCAAGCCAATGGTGCAGTGGAGCGGGTGAACCGCACGACCGGCAAGGTCCTCCGTGCTGCCCAACTGGATGGCCGAGATTTGCGTGCTGCACTTGACGAGTGGCTACTCGCATACCGCACCACTCCCCACCCCGCCACAGGCCCGCCGCCAGCTACCATCATGTTCGGCCGCAGCATCCGGGACACTCTCCCCAGCCCGTGCACGGCCCCAGCACCAGATGCGACCGTCACGGCGAACAAGGAGCATGCGTTCCGCGCCCGCCAATGCGAGGCGGCGAACCACCATCGCAGTGCGCAACCGGCTTCGACCATCACCCTCAAGCCGGGTCAACAAGTTCTGCGCAAGAACGAACGGCAGCACAACAAGCTCGACTCAATCTGGGATCCAGACCCATGGACTGTGGACGAGATGACGGGCTCCACCGTGGTCATCACCCATCCAGTCACAGGCCAGCGGGTCTCTAGGCATGTGTCATTTATGAAGCCGGCTCCCGCTATCGTGGTTCATCCTCCGTCGCCCGAGCCTCCACTACCTACCCCGCCGCCACCACCGACAACACCACCCCTGCCCCACCGGCGGCGTCAGCAGCCACCCCGCTTGGCCAAGGCGGTCCACAAATATGTCCAAACAGCACGCGCCACCTGATGTATGTGTCCATCAAGTCCACCCTGAATCTCAGACTGGCTTCAGTTTTTTCCCTTTTATCCTTTGTGTGACTGTTTACCTGCGCCGCCTTTTCTATCTGTAGCATAGAGAGAGGGACAGCCTGACATCAAGTCATTTATCCATGCCTCGTGTTTTCAGTTTTCCACTTTTCACCCTACGTTTTTTCATCTGTGCTTGGGAGAGATGTAGTGTTCACGTGTTCCTACGCGCTGTGGCATTCCTTGGCCACTCCAGACATTCATGATGCATGTAGTAGTAGTAGTAGTCTGTCCCCGGGGAAAATTGCGATTCCGCGGCCGCGTTTTTTTCCGCGTTTTTTGCGATTTTTTAAAAGACCGCGTTTTCCGCGATTTTCCCGCGTTTTTTGAACTTTTTGTTGCACTACACGTACACACTGTGCACTTTTCGGTCAGCAACGTCTCATCGTGGCGGCTTTTTACTCAAATAATGGGTGCTTTATACACCAGAGACTTGTAACTGATTGATTTCACTACATACTCACTGAAAATTGCCGCATTCACCGCATATTTACCGCATATTTACCGCAAATTCGCCGCAAATTATGCCATATTATGCCGCGTTTTTCCCCGCGTTTTTTGCGATTTTTTTCCGCAATTTTCCCCGGGGACAGAGTAGTACATCGTGATGTTATGCATGTAGCATGTGCCGTTTCCCGCGCGCGCGCACGCGCCTGAACGGACTTGGCGGCTTTTAGTTGCTGTGCATGGTTTGACTCTGGACTCTTGTTGTTTTGGACTGGAGATATCATCAATACTACAGTCAGCCAGGCATCATATCAAAGTCAAAATTATTCATTTACGACCAACTCATGTACTTCCTCCGTATACAAAAACTTCGTGACTTTTTTTGAAAGCTGCGCACAGCTCTGGAATTGTTCCGTTTGACTTGGAGTAACACTCGCGGCATTGTCTAACCTGTTTTCAAGCTATATACAAAGAAAAAAGCAACTCAGACGAATGAGATTGAGTTTTTTCAGAGTCTTCGTCGCTCATGTCATGGTCACCTGACGACGCTGACTCCGCATCGCCAACAGTTGCTGCTTCCGCTCGCTTTTCGTTTAGATTCTTGTCACCTGCAGTGATGATCCGACGCTGGACTTTGGCTACGTCCTCTTCATCTCTATAGCTGTGTACGAATCGGTGTCGATTATAATCAGTTGTTCCAACCCGCGACCTCCATTATGCCGTGAAACGAGTCGTACAAGCAGATCCACACGCTTCGCATTTTCTCGCCAGGATAATCCTCCCAAGCATTCTACAATGGCTTAGAGCAGGTCCCTGCGATTCCCCTTGGCGACAAAGGAGACGTCTGACTGGAGAGAGGCGAAGAAAGCCAGGCCATCGACATTCTGATCCTGAGTCTGCGCTGGTTGCACGACGACTGAAATGTTTCATCTTGCCGTGCGAGCGAAACAAATCTATGTTCTCACGCTGCGTAGATCTATGGGGCCGCGCACCGCAAGTACGAGCCTGGCCAGTTTCAGGGCAGCGAGTGCCGCATGACTCCGTGTTCCAGCCACGAGCTACACTTCGTCACGGTGTCAGTTTCGAGCAAGTAAGTGTTAGTTTTTTTCATTTGACTCTTGAGTTTCTGTCCGCAACGTCCTCACACGCAAGGCGTCCGTGGAGAATCTGTTCGGGATCAACCAAACTAACCTCAACATAGACGTGGGTTGTCGATGACAGCCTTTGGCGCCGTTCGTTGAGCAGGTTCTTGCTCAAAAACACCTTTCAAAAAAGTCACGAAGTTTTTGTATACGGAGGAAGTACGGCGAACTTTCGTGAAGTTTATTAATTATTTTATTTATTTATTGGGAACACAGCCCTACAAGTACAAAGAGACATGTGGAGACAAACACAAGACAAGACACAGGGGATGTAGGGACGACGTGCCGATGTACAGGGAGCAACTCGACCGACCAGGGGTCTCGGCGTTAGCGTTGCAACCTGGCATCGAAAAAAAGGGGGGCCCGGGGGGGGGGGGGGGGGTTGCATGGTCAGGTAGCAAAAATAATAATTTGGTGCGAGAAAGGGGCGCTAGTATTGCACCAAATAATAATAAATACGTGTAATGACTAAACCAGAAGGGAAAATGAAGAAAGAGAACAATAATCATAACAAGCAAGTAGTAGTAGAGAGGTAAATACTAAATGGGTCTCAAATCTCAATATCATCGTCACAGGTACTGTGTGGACCACAGCCATCTCTTTCGGATTAGATCCTTACATACGTTGACCTTGAAGGTTTGGAGGCGTCTTGAATGAGGCTCGTGAAGCAGGAGGTCCGCAGGCAGGTTGTTCCAGGGTGTGATGGCGAAGAAGGGGAAGGATCGCAGGAGGTAGTCAGGGGCTGTGCGAGGGGGTGTCCACTTCAGCTGAAAGGCATGGTGCGTCTGACGTTTTTGCCGTGTGCACATGCTAGCTACGGCAGGGGGCTTGGTTGGTGGCAGCATGGCCTTTACCTGGGGAGGCCCTGGAATGTAGTGCAGCTTGAACAAGTATGACAGGGCTGCCACCATCCGACGAAGCTGAAGACTTTGGAGGATGGTTCCAGGTCCCAGGACATGCAGGGCACGTTGCTGAACCTTGTCCAGCTGGGCCATGTTAGTTGCGGCTGCGCTCGACCAGGCCAGCGGGGCATATTCAAGTAGAGGTCGCACGAATCCCTTGTAGACCGTCACTCGACCATGGTCGTCCAGGATGGGTGCTGCCTTTCGTAGGAAACCCAGCCTTTGGGAGGCGCGCAGTGCAACACTGCGAGTGTGCGCTCTGTAGGAGAGAGTAGGGTCGAGCATGACTCCCAGCAGCTTCAGGGTATCTGTCTCCTGGAGTGCTTCACCTCCAAAGGTGACTGGTGGAGTGCAGGGGGGAACGTGCTTGCGATGTAGAGTCATGCGCTGTGTCTTGGCTGGCTCAAAACAGATACGCCACTTGCGGCCCCACTCCTCAAGACTGTTGAGGGACCCTTGGAGGGAGGCGGTGGACTGTTGGAGATCGTCAGTTGGCTGTACTAAGCTGTAGAGTGTGGTGTCGTCTGCAAAGCTGCTCAGCTGCGTTCCTGGAGTTAAACATTGTTCAATGTCACAGGTGTATAGAAGGAAGAGGCTGGGTCCTAGGATGAAGTGCTGGGAACGCACAGCTCTGCCAGCCCGGACCGACCTCTGTTTTTTCCGGGTAATGGTCAGCCTCTATCACGACCGACATTTACGACAACTGTGAGGATGTTGCTCCGCTGACCAGTCGCGGTGTTGACTCGGCATTGTATGCTGGCCACTCATTCCGGATAGGTGCCGCCACCACAGCAGCGCTGGCCGGGTTGCCAGGCTCCATAATCAGAGTGGCGGGCAGATGGAAGAGCGATGCCTGCCTGAGGTACATTCGTACGCCGACTGCAGCCAAGGCACGGGTAACTGCAACAATGGCCTCAGCCCCTGATATCAAATTCTGACTAGCCTGCGCTGCTTGCAGACTGCACGGGTAACTGTTCTTATGGCCCGTTCTGGGAGTGCCGATTTACGGAATATGCTCTCAACTAGTTTTCCGCATACCTATATTAAGCATTTGGCAGCTCCATGCAGAGTCATCTGGCGGCTCCATGCGGAGTCATTGTACGCTTGCTTCGATACTTTAACCAGTTGCTCGTAGCGGCACTCCCGGCGTAGTCCAACATACAATGTCATGTACTGTTGCTCTGTTGCAAGGTGTGTGTGTGTGGGGGGGGGGGGGGGAGGGGGGATGCTAGTCTGGATAAAAAGAACTCCAGGTAAGACAAACAAACTTGCTCAGTCCCTTGAAGTTCGTCCTAAAGAGGTTTGACGGTACATGAATACATAAAATGTAATACACATGAGTACAGATATGAAAAATCTCCCATTCATTCTAAACGATGATTTATCCATCTCCTCTTCTTTCTTCCTACTAGTTTGATCATATTTATCAGGGTTTGTGACCATGGGGGGGGGGGGGGGGGGCGGGGGGATGATGAGCACGTACCGAGCAATTTCTGGTGGGTGGCGATTTGCACTCTGCAGATAGTGAAAGAGACAAGAGAACAACACATGCAAATCAAACAGATGAAACGTGCATACACACAAGGCAAACGTCGTGCCATGCTACCGCCATACACTCGTTCCGCCATAACACTCTGTTCTTGTTCTGGACCAAAAGGAGATCTCCAGTGCCTATCCCAGACACGCATGCATCTTACACATATCGTGTATCCCATACACGCATGCATCTTACACATATCATCGTCTACACACCAATACTAGCAAGACAAAGCACACATCAACTATATAGGGTGCACATGCACGCACACGCATGCACACACGCACACACACGTATACACACACACGTATACACACACACACACACACACGAGGCACACACGAGGCACACACGAGGCACACAGGTAATGTCACAGCTTACTGCAGGTGTACTTATCACAACAGTGTGCAGCGGAGGCGGAATTGTTGCACTTCCCCTTGGTAGCAGGATTTAACACCCTCCACGGATCGTCGCACTGCACAATACATACATGTACACATGTACAAGAAGTAAGATGAAAACCAATTCATGCAGTGAGAAATTCGAAGCAGCAGTTACCTCAATGAGGCATATGATCTGAAAACAAAGGCTAAGGAGCTAACACCAGTACAGCAACATTGCACAGGCAACATCAGATCAACATCTGCACGCACAACATGCAAGCCCAATGCAAGCATGGCTTGTGCAGTGCTATGTTTGAATCCATAGTCGGTCTGTACATGATCTGTACGCCATACGCTGCTCTGTGTGTACTACACACTATACATGCATGCACTGTGCACTGTTGTCAACTGCTTTGCCATGTATACAGCATTCTGTAGTGTTTGAAGTAGAGCCCGTAATCTACTCTGCTAGCTATGTCAGTTATTGCTTTCCTGATTTCGAATAGTTCCTTGCTTGTCATTCTGAAGTATAGTATCTGCTGTAATACATTCAGTGCTCTTCCTCATATAGTTCTCTGTCGATCTTATTCTGGCGAATATAACATGCACAAAGCGGCATGTTTTGCCAGTATCATATGTACCATATGTATATGTGTGTTGTTGTACTGCTGGAGGAGTGAATCTCGTTAGACTACTGATAAGCATGCACCGTGGATACAGGCTATTAGTGAGAATGTCGGCACATCCTGTATACAGCACGGTACATGTGCACATGATTGGCTATTAGTGAGGATGTGACCACGCTGAGAGAGAGAGAGAGAGAGAGAGAGAGAGAGAGAGAGAGAGAGAGAGAGAGAGAGAGAGAGAGAGAGAGAGAGAGAGAGAGAGAGAGAGAGAGAGAGAGAGAGAGAGAGAGAGGAGAGAGAGAGAGAGTGAGAGAGAGAGAAAGAGAGAAAGAAAGAGAGAAGAGAGAGAGAGAGAGAGAGAGAGAGGAGAGAGAGAGAGAGAGAGAGAGAGAGAGAGAGAGAGAGAGAGAGAGAGAGAGAGAGAGAGAGAGAGAGAGAGAGAGTAAGCTAGAGTAAGCTAGAGTAAACGTCAGATCTTACTCCTGCACAAGACGGAGTTGCTGCACAGTCACTACAGTTGCACACTGTAGCCAGTTCATAGCACACAGGACAATTGAAAGCACACAGAACATAGATGTCATCACTAGGCTGTTGCACAGAAGTCTCACTGTGACTTGTGACTTACTAAAGCAGAAACATATTTGTAACAACAACAATTTTGGTAAGGTGACTAAACAAATCTAAGTAGCTGCTGTCATTCCGCCGGAATACACTAGAATACACTAGAATACACTAGAATACACTAGAATACACTAGAATACACTAGAATACACTAGAATACACTAGAATACACTAGAATACACTAGAATACACTAGAATACACTAGAATACACTAGAATACACTAGAATACACTAGAATACACTAGAATACACTAGAATACACTAGAATACACTAGAATACACTAGAATACACTAGAATACACTAGAATACACACTAGAATACACTAGAATACACTAGAATACACTAGAATACACTAGAATACACTAGAATACACTAGAATACACTAGAATACACTAGAATACACTAGAATACACTAGAATACACTAGAATACACTAGAATACACTAGAATACACTAGAATACACACTAGAATACACTAGAATACACTAGAATACACTAGAATACACTGCCGTAAATCCCTAAGCCTGACACAAATCATTTGCACAAGAGCGAGCGTACATTCATCTATGTAAAACATGGTAATGTTAGCTGAGTACACCCCTGCATGCCTGCATGATTGCATGCCTGCATGATTGCATGCCTGCATGATTGCATGCCTGCATGATTGCATGCCTGCATGATTGCATGCCTGCATGATTGCATGCCTGCGTGATTGCATGCCTGCGTGATTGCATGCCTGCATGATTGCATGCCTGCGTGATTGCATGCCTGCGTGATTGTATGCCTGCGTGAGTGTATGCGAAATGTACTCACCACACTGGAAAGCCTCCACTGTACAGCACGGTGACCCAGCATCATTCGTGCACGACTCGTTGAACACCGACTCAAAACCGATCGATTCAAGCTTTAAACTCTACAGAGATATGCAACAAGCAGGTGAAAGCAGAACATACTTTGAAGATGATTATTAGCGACAAAGACGAGGTTTGCTTTCCAGGAAAAAGCCACTACTTCAAGCTTGCAGCATGACACATTCCACATTGTACCGGTGGACCATTTCCATTGCCATCATAATATTGGGCAAGCCGCTGCCCGTTTGGTTTGCGATGCTAAAATAACAACAAACAAACAACAGCAGCAGCCGCAGCAGCAGCAGCAGCAGCAGCAGCAGCAGTGGCAGCGGCGGCAACAACAACAACAACAACAACAACAACAACACGTATGCCTGATCGCAGATATTGTTTTTTCGCAACCACTGACGCCTGCTACTATCCTCAACATAACATCTCCAGCTTGATCTGGTCTAGTTTCTTTCTTCAGCAGCATGAACCATGAGCACACATCTCTCTCTCTCTCTCTCTCTCTCTCTCTCTCTCTCTCTCTCTCTCTCTCTCTCTCTCTCTCTCTCTCTCTCTCTCTCTCTCTCTCTCTCTCTCTCTCTCGCCTTTGCCATCCATCTTTCCCTCTGTCCATTCCTCTCCCTCCCTCTTTCCTCCATCCTTCCCCCTCCCTCCTTCGTCCCCCCCCCCCCCCCGAAACAGAACACAACAAGATAGACCCAAATAGACTTACAGTATTTACAGTATTACACTGGAAATTTTGATCATAGTGTTTTGCCGTGTTTGTATTCTGCTTGACGTGCTGTGACCGGAGTCCAGCACAAGTGGTATCATTCACACATTCTGCAGAACCAATTACAACAGTACGCACCAGACACCATTAGCTAGTGGTTGCCGTAGCAATTGCAGGGTGGAAACATACATACAGCCTACAAGAGAATACTCCTTGTCCTTGTGCTCAGCAGAGTGGGAACTTTAGAGGTGTAATGCAAGCACATAGTCTACTGATCATAGCACATGCTATTGAAGGTCAGAGCAGCTAGCTAGCCAGAGTGTGGGAACCATTCACAGTATTCACTACATGCTTATTAAGACCATGACGCAAAACCCCTCCATATTCCAAAGGCTCAAGACCAATCAGTAGGAGACTGAATATGTATGTATTGTGTGTGTGTGTGTGTGTGTGTGTGTGTGTGTGTGTGTATGTGTGTGTGTGTGTGCGTGTGTAGCATTATAGTAATAATGCAGATTAATGGGTGCACGCGGCTGCTTCGTGCTACCACTCAAACTATGCTGCTATGAACGTGCGCTGTACGTGCTCACATGGTACTCTATGCATCGTGGCATTCTATGTGTCATACAACGTGACACTCAACGCGACATTCATTCATGCGCGACGCTCAACGTAGGCGGCATGCGTCGTAGGCACTCAACGTGTCATACTAAAGTTTGGCATTCATGCGTGTCGCTCGCCTCCGATGTGGAAGGCGTGTGGCAGCGTTATGATGACGCTTGCTCGTAACTTAACGTGGGTGGGTTTGGCGGTGTTATGATGGCGCTTGCTTGTAACTCAACGTGGGTGGCATGCATCGTTGCATGTCTTGCTAGAGTTTGCTCTGCTATATATTTTCGATCCGTTCTGTGCGACGATCATTCTTCCTTGCTCGTAGTGTTTCGATTCGTTCTGTGTGCGGATCACTCTTGTCAGTTCATTGTGTTTCTTGCTTGCTCGTAGTGCTTTAGAGTTCGTGAGTTTCTTGCTCGCTCGTAGTGTTTCACAGTTTGTGAGTTTATTCGCTCCTCGCCGCCTTGTCTTCGCGACGCCATGGCTGCCTATACTGACGATGAAATCCGCGCCATGACGGTTCCGCGTCTCCGCAGCAAACTCTCGCTGTTGAGTTTGGATACTTCGGGCCAGAAGGCTGCCCTCGTTGATCGCTTGATTCAGGCCCAAGTTCATCACGCTGATCCCTGCGAGTCTGCAGCGAGCACGGCGAGCGGAGCAGGCAACAGAGAACGCGAGCCGTTGGCGCCGTCTGTGCCTCCGACGTCGGAGATAACTCCCGACGCAATCCGCTCCACCATAGTATCGGTGGTGTCGGAGACTTTGCCAACACTTCTGGCGGCCATGGTTCCTGATTCTCTGCCTCATAGTCATACGAACTCGACTCCTCTCCCAGCCAGCTCAGGTAGCAGCAAGTCGTTCGCCGCCCACCTGGGAGCTAAACATCGCGAGCGGATTTTTGATGGGTGAGTTCGTGGAATTGAGTGAGCTCTTGCCCTCTGTGTCTTGCTCTGTGCCGCACGCCCGCACACAGAACGTGCTCCGTTTTGAGTCGTCGGATGGGGGCCCGTTGCGGGTGGTCGAGGACGGCGCTGCCCGCGGCAAGAGCAGGCACGTTCACGACCTTGCGACGTGGGTGGAAGCCTACACGATCATGAGCCAGGTTATTGTCGACGTGGCCCCGCACAGGTCAGCGGAGTTGCTGTGTTACCAGGGCCTCATCCTCGAGGCTAATCGCAGATTCACGCCTGAAGGGTGGTTGGAGTATGACAGGAAGTTTCGCATCAAGGCTGCTGCCGACTCGTCGCTGAAGTGGGACATTATCGACCCAAACCTGTGGCAGCTGGCGACAACAGGACGCGCTCGGTCTGCCTGCATGGCATGCGGCGCTGCACATCCGCCTTCTGCTAATGGACGCTGTCCTTTTCGTCCCTACCAACAGTCCTACCAACAGTTTTCTGGCTTCGCTAGTAACTCCAAGGGCTCAGCCTCCCCAGGACAGTCGGTCTGCCGCAATTTCAATGTGGGTCGGTGCTTCGACCCTTGCTCCAGGTCCCACATCTGCCAAATCTGCCGGGGTCGCCACCCAGCTTCCCACTGTAAGGGTAACACCACCAGCTCGGGGGCGGGTGGTAAACCCAAGCAATAGGGCTGCCAACATCATGCCAGCCTTCAGTGTCCAGAGCGACACTAAGGCCACCGTCCACCGCACACTGCATAATACTGTACATTCTGTTCATACGCCTCTGCACGTTTCCCGTTTTGCGTCCATGCTTGCTTCACATCCTGATCAGCAATTCGTCAATTATGTATGCAACGGCCTTGCTTACGGTTTCTCTGTCGTAAGACTGTAGTAGCCCCGAACCTCACCTCTTCAGCTCCTGTCATCAATCCATCAAGTACTACTATTACTTGGTCTACTTGTCATTGGTGGGGTAAGGAACTCCCACACACACACACATCCATAGTGCATCAATCAATTTGGTGCTAGTGCCTGTCACTTTCGAGGTGCACCACCCACGTACTCACAGGCTGGCCTATGCTCATGCTGTTGCAGTCTCCTCTAGTTAGTATGGGGGTTAGCACTGTTGCAGTTCACACTGCCATCCCAACCAGTGTGTATAACCAGCAATTGACGTGTTGCACGTATTCAAGTGTTCAGTCCAATAACAGATTTGCTTGGGCCACTCTTGTCCAACCATTTATGTAGTTTTCCAGTATAACCTCAACCTCTCTGGCCCGACGTCATTTAGTCTCTGCCCCGACGTCATTTAGTCTCTGCCACACTGACAGGCGTTGCGTCCTCCAGCACGAACTCGCCTGCCTTCTAGGCCAACTCACATTCGCTACCCACCCGTACGTTATTATGCCCTGCCTGTCTGACCTTGTCAAGGCCACATCTGAGTTCATCTCACAGAATGCTGCACCTCTCAACCTCGGTCAAGGACGACCCTGAGCCGGTGGCACCAGACTCTGTCAACGTATTGAAGGTTGGCACAAGCCGTTCAGTTCTTCTGTGGTCATGGCACTCATCTGCACCCTCTACTTGTGTCCAGTACTACTTACTGTTTTGAGCATCACACCTGCCAGTCACCTCC